CAACTGGGTGGGGAAGAACGCAGCAGGGTGGGGGAAGAACGCAGCTGGGTGGGGGAAGAACGCAGCTGGGTGGGGGAAGAACGCAGCTGGGTGGGGGAAGAACGCAGCTGGGTGGGGGGAGAACGCAGCTGGGTGGGGGGGGAACGCAGCTGGGTGGGGGAAGAACGCAGCTGGGTAGGGGAAGAACGCAGCTGGGTGGGGGGAGAACGCAGCTGGGTGGGGGAAGAACGCAGCTGGGTGGGGGAAGAACGCAGCTGGGTGGGGGGGGAACGCAGCTGGGTGGGGGAAGAACGCAGCTGGGTGGGGGAAGAACGCAGCTGGGTGGCGGAAGAATGCAGCTGGGTGGGGGAAGAACGCAGCTGGGTGGGAGAAGAACGCAGCTGGGTGGGGGAAGAACGCAGCTGGGTGGGGGAAGAACGCAGCTGGGTGGGGGAAGAACGCAGCTGGGCGGGGGAAGAACGCAGCTGGGTGGGGGAAGAACGCAGCTGGGTGGGGGAAGAACGCAGCTGGGCGGGGGAAGAACGCAGCTGGGTGGGGGAAGAACGCAGCTGGGTGGGGGAAGAACGCAGCTGGGTGGGGGAAGAACGCAGCTGGGTGGGGGGGGAACGCAGCTGGGTGGGGGAAGAACGCAGCTGGGTGGGGAAGAACGCAGCTGGGTGGGGGAAGAACGCAGCTGGGTGGGGGAAGAACGCAGCTGGGTGGGGGGGGAACGCAGCTGGGTGGGGGAAGAACGCAGCTGGGTGGGGGAAGAACGCAGCTGGGTGGGGGAAGAACGCAGCTGGGTGGGGGAAGAACGCAGCTGGGTGGGGGAAGAACGCAGCTGGGTGGGGGGGGAACGCAGCTGGGTGGGGGAAGAACGCAGCTGGGTGAGGGAAGAACGCAGCTGGGTGGGGGAAGAACGCAGCTGGGTGGGGGAAGAACGCAGCTGGGTGGGGAAGAACGCAGCTGGGTGGGGGAAGAACGCAGCTGGGTGGGGGAAGAACGCAGCTGGGTGGGGGAAGAACGCAGCTGGGTGGGGGAAGAACGCAGCTGGGTGGGGGGGGAACGCAGCTGGGTGGGGGAAGAACGCAGCTGGGTGGGGGAAGAACGCAGCTGGGTGGGGGAAGAACGCAGCTGGGTGGGGGAAGAACGCAGCTGGGTGGGGGAAGAACGCAGCTGGGTGGGGGGAGAACGGAGCTGGATGGGGGAAGAACGCAGCTGGGTGGGGAAGAACGCAGCAGGGTGGGGGAAGAACGCAGCTGGGTGGGGGAAGAACGCAGCTGGGTGGGGAAGAACGCAGCTGGGTGGGGGAAGAACGCAGCTGGGTGGGGGAAGAACGCAGCTGGGTGGGGGAAGAACGCAGCTGGGTGGGGGGGGAACGCAGCTGGGTGGGGGAAGAACGCAGCTGGTTGGGGGAAGAACGCAGCTGGGTGGGGAAGAACGCAGCTGGGTGGGGGAAGAACGCAGCTGGGTGGGGGAAGAACGCAGCTGGGTGGGGGAAGAACGCAGCTGGGTGGGGGAAGAACGCAGCTGGGTGGCGGAAGAACGCAGCTGGGTGGGGGAAGAACGCAGCTGGGTGGGGGAAGAACGCAGCTGGGTGGGGGAAGAACGCAGCTGGGTGGGGGAAGAACGCAGCTGGGTGGGGGAAGAACGCAGCTGGGTGGGGGAAGAACGCAGCTGGGTGGGGGAAGAACGCAGCTGGGTGGGGGGAGAACGGAGCTGGATGGGGGAAGAACGCAGCTGGGTGGGGAAGAACGCAGCTGGGTGGGGGAAGAACGCAGCTGGGTGGGGGAAGAACGCAGCTGGGTGGGGGGAGAACGCAGCTGGGTGGGGGGGGAACGCAGCTGGGTGGGGGAAGAACGCAGCTGGGTGGGGGAAGAACGCAGCTGGGTGGGGAAGAACGCAGCTGGGTGGGGGAAGAACGCAGCTGGGTGGGGGAAGAACGCAGCTGGGTGGGGGAAGAACGCAGCTGGGTGGGGGAAGAACGCAGCTGGGTGGGGGGGGAACGCAGCTGGGTGGGGGAAGAACGCAGCTGGGTGGGGGAAGAACGCAGCTGGGTGGGGGAAGAACGCAGCTGGGTGGGGGAAGAACGCAGCTGGGTGGGGGAAGAACGCAGCTGGGTGGGGGGAGAACGGAGCTGGATGGGAGAAGAACGCAGCTGGGTGGGGAAGAACGCAGCTGGGTGGGGGAAGAACGCAGCTGGGTGGGGGAAGAACGCAGCTGGGTGGGGGGGGAACGCAGCTGGGTGGGGGAAGAACGCAGCTGGGTGGGGAAGAACGCAGCTGGGTGGGGGAAGAACGCAGCTGGGTGGGGGAAGAACGCAGCTGGGTGGGGAAGAACGCAGCTGGGTGGGGGAAGAACGCAGCTGGGTGGGGGAAGAACGCAGCTGGGTGGGGGAAGAACGCAGCTGGGTGGGGGGGGAACGCAGCTGGGTGGGGGAAGAACGCAGCTGGGTGGGGAAGAACGCAGCTGGGTGGGGGAAGAACGCAGCTGGGTGGGGGAAGAACGCAGCTGGGTGGGGGAAGAACGCAGCTGGGTGGGGGAAGAACGCAGCTGGGTGGGGGAAGAACGCAGCTGGGTGGGGGGGGAACGCAGCTGGGTGGGGGAAGAACGCAGCTGGGTGGGGGAAGAACGCAGCCTGGGTGGGGGAAGAACGCAGCTGGGTGGGGGAAGAACGCAGCTGGGTGGGGGAAGAACGCAGCTGGGTGGGGGAAGAACGCAGCTGGGTGGGGGAAGAACGCAGCTGGGTGGGGGAAGAACGCAGCTGGGTGGGGGAAGAACGCAGCTGGGTGGGGGAAGAACGCAGCTGGGTGGGGGAAGAACGCAGCTGGGTGGGGGAAGAACGCAGCTGGGTGGGGGAAGAACGCAGCTGGGTGGGGGAAGAACGCAGCTGGGTGGGGGAAGAACACAGCTGGGTGGGGGAAGAACGCAGCTGGGTGGGGGAAGAACGCAGCTGGGTGGGGGAAGAACACAGCTGGGTGGGGGAAGAACGCAGCTGGGTGGGGGAAGAACGCAGCTGGGTGGGGGAAGAACGCAGCTGGGTGGGGGAAGAACGCAGCTGGGTGGGGAAGAACGCAGCTGGGTGGGGGAAGAACACAGCTGGGTGGGGGAAGAACGCAGCTGGGTGGCGGAAGAACGCAGCTGGGTGGGGGAAGAACGCAGCTGGGTGGGGGAAGAACGCAGCTGGGTGGGGGAAGAACGCAGCTGGGTGGGGGAAGAACGCAGCTGGGTGGGGGAAGAACGCAGCTGGGTGGGGGAAGAACGCAGCTGGGTGGGGGAAGAACGCAGCTGGGTGGGGGAAGAACGCAGCTGGGTGGGGGAAGAACGCAGCTGGGTGGGGGAAGAACGCAGCTGGGTGGGGGAAGAACGCAGCTGGGTGGGGGAAGAACGCAGCTGGTGGGGGAAGAACGCAGCTGGGTGGGGAAAGAACGCAGCTGGGTGGGGGAAGAACGCATCTGGGTGGGGGAAGAACGCAGCTGGGTGGGGGAAGAACGCAGCTGGGTGGGGGAAGAACGCAGCTGGGTGGGGAAGAACGCAGCTGGGTGGGGGAAGAACACAGCTGGGTGGGGGAAGAACGCAGCTGAGTTGGGGGGTAACGCAGCTGGGTGGGGAAAGAACGCAGCTGGGTGGGGGAAGAACGCAGCTGGGTTGGGGGGTAACGCAGCGGGGGGGGGAAGAACGCAGCTGGGTGGGGGGGGAACGCAGCTGGGTGGGGGAAGAACGCAGCTGGGTGGGGGAAGAACGCAGCTGGGTGGGGGAAGAACGCAGCTGGGTGGGGGAAGAACGCAGCTGGGTGGGGGAAGAACGCAGCTGGGTGGGGGAAGAACGCAGCTGGGTGGGGGAAGAACGCAGCTGGGTGGGGGAAGAACGCAGCTGGGTGGGGGAAGAACGCAGCTGGGTGGGGAAGAACGCAGCTGGGTGGGGGAAGAACGCAGCTGGGTGGGGGAAGAACGCAGCTGGGTGGGGGAAGAACGCAGCTGGGTGGGGGAAGAACGCAGCTGGGTGGGGGAAGAACGCAGCTGGGTGGGGGAAGAACGCAGCTGGGTGGGGGAAGAACGCAGCTGGGTGGGGAAGAACGCAGCTGGGTGGGGGAAGAACACAGCTGGGTGGGGGAAGAACGCAGCTGAGTTGGGGGGTAACGCAGCTGGGTGGGGAAAGAACGCAGCTGGGTGGGGGAAGAACGCAGCTGGGTTGGGGGGTAACGCAGCGGGGGGGGGGAAGAACGCAGCTGGGTGGGGGGGGAACGCAGCTGGGTGGGGGAAGAACGCAGCTGGGTGGGGGAAGAACGCAGCTGGGTGGGGGAAGAACGCAGCTGGGTGGGGGAAGAACGCAGCTGGGTGGGGGAAGAACGCAGCTGGGTGGGGGAAGAACGCAGCTGGGTGGGGGAAGAACGCAGCTGGGTGGGGGAAGAACGCAGCTGGGTGGGGGAAGAACGCAGCTGGGTGGGGGAAGAACGCAGCTGGGTGGGGGAAGAACGCAGCTGGGTGGGGGAAGAACGCAGCTGGGTGGGGGAAGAACGCAGCTGGGTGGGGGAAGAACGCAGCTGGGTGGGGGAAGAACGCAGCTGGGTGGGGGAAGAACGCAGCTGGGTGGGGGAAGAACGCAGCTGGGTGGGGGAAGAACGCAGCTGGGTGGGGGAAGAACGCAGCTGGGTGGGGGAAGAACGCAGCTGGGTGGGGGAAGAACGCAGCTGGGTGGGGGAAGAACACAGCTGGGTGGGGGAAGAACGCAGCTGGGTGGGGGAAGAACGCAGCTGAGTGCAGCCTATTTCCAACAGCACGGCTACACACAGCACCATGTCGTCTACTGGTGCATAGGACAGAAAAGAATAAGGTGGGGTGGGGTGGAGTAGGTGGGCTGGAATAAGCTTAGTTTGTTTAAGACTGCAGCACGGCCACATAGAGCACCATGTCATCCACTTAGGCCACCTGGGAATGAGGCAGGTAAGGGAGGGGTTGGTGCGAGAAGTAAGAATGATCAGACAGGGGTGTCCAAGAATGTGACCTGGTCTGAGCACTAACCTGGTCTGAGCACGCGGTCCCACTCGAAGACGAGCTCCTCAAACTCCAGCACGGGCATGTACTTGACGCTGTTGACGCTGTGAATCACATCCAATGTGTTGTCGTAGAAGGGTAACCGTGCCTGGTGAGGATGAATGGCATAGAGCACAGCCAAGGGGGGAACAAGTGTGGTAAGTGGTGACAGGGAGGGGTAGGGCATGAACACATAGCAAGTGGAAGCAGGAATGAGGGCCAGTCCCGCACGGGCGTTATTTTGGAATTTTATTAATGCGGATCTACGGGGATGATGCACAACAAATGCAGGGCTGGTAGTAGCAACACTCATTGGACGTTTGAGGCCAGACAGAGCTGGGGACACTAGATCATGAGTAGGCCACCTTGCGGAAGAGGCACCTTGTGGGGGAGTCACCCTGAGTCTGACGGGGGATGAAGCACCTTATGGGGGAGGAAGAGGGGGATGAGGCCGCGCATGGCGATGGCTTCAAAATAGGGCAGCCCTGCATGGTGCCCCGACACGGTCTCGTAGTTCATGGCTTTGTGGGAAAGGGACCTTGTGAGGGAGGCACCTTCTGAGTCTGAGGGGGCACCTTATTACCTTATGGGGGAGGAAGAGGGGGATGAGGCCGCGCATGGCGATGGCTTCAAAATAGGGCAGCCCTGCATGGTGCCCCGACACGGTCTCGTAGTTCATGGCTTTGTGGGAAAGGGACCTTGTGAGGGAGGCACCTTCTGAGTCTGAGGGGGCACCTTATTACCTTATGGGGGAGGAAGAGGGGGATGAGGCCGCGCATGGCGATGGCTTCAAAATAGGGCAGCCCCGCATGCCGCCCCGACACGGTCTCGTAGTTCATGGCTGTGGTCATCACCGTCACCCCGTGCCGTGCCATGTGTGCTGCGAAGCTCCCCGTGCCGCCTCCCACGTCCAGCCCCAACCTGCACGAGGTGTGGCAACGCAAGGAAGTGAAGGTCTGACGCACTTAAGCTACTTCAAACACACAAGGGACCCTGCCTGCCGACACGGTCTCATAGTTCAGTTCAGCCCCGCATACCGCCCGACACGGTCGCGTAGTTCATGGCTGTGGTCATCACCGCCACCCCGTGCCTCGCCATGTGCGTTGCAAAGCTCCCTGTTCCGCCCCCCACGTCGAGGCCGAGCCTGCACCACGTGTGGCAACACAGGGAAGCATAGGTGTGAGGCTGGGGCAATTTAAGCACACAAGGGAAGGGCGCTCCCGACACGGTCTCATAGTTCATGGCTGTCGTCATCACCGCCAACCCGTGCCTCGCCATGTGCGCTGCGAAACTCCCCGTGCCTCCGCCCACGTCCAGTCCGAGCCTGCAACGGGTGTGGCAAGGCAAGGAAATATAGGTCTGATGCACTTTAAACGCGCAAGGGACAGGGCTGTCCCCGCCCTGGGGCAGGGCAGTGTGTGTTGGCAGTCCAGGCGGACTCGGGTGAACGATTCTCCATGTTGTTAAAGGTGGTTATTGAGAACTGACAAAATTAACAGGCAAGCGCGCACCAGAGGGAGCCGTTTTTTTGTTGCAGCACGTCCTGCATGGTGGGGTTGACTTTCGAGATGTCTCAAGAAGATGCTACAATGGGCAAGTGTGCACCTGGGGGAGCATTTCCAGTTCCAGCACACCTGAGGAAGCCGTTCTTCAAGAGCAGCGCATCCTGCATGGTGGGATTGCCTTTCGAGACGTCTCAAGAAGTTGCTAGAATGGGCAATAACGAACCTGAGAGAGCCATTCTTCAAGAGCATCACGTCTTGCATGGTGGGGTTGCCTCGGAAGCGGTGGTGCCAGCGGTGGCTCTCGAGAGAGAGGTTGAAGCAGTTGCGACAGTCGCCCAGTGCGCGCGTGTTGAGGCAGTGGAACGACCCGCACTGCTGCTGCTCCCACCTCACCCCCCCGTCTGCTAAGGCCGCTTGATCGAATAGGGATTGTGGGAACGGCAGCGGCTGGGGGAATGGGGGAAAAGGGAGAGGAAGGGGGGAAGGGGGAAGGGGGACCAGGGGGGGAGAGGTTGAAGCAGTTGCGGCAGTCACCGAGTGCGCGTGTGTTGAGGCAGTGGAACGACCCGCACTGCTGCTGCTCCCACCTCACCCCCCCGTCTGCTAAGGGCGCTTGATCGAATAGGGATTGTGGGAACGGCAGCGGCTGGGGGAATGGGGGAAAAGGGAGAGGAAGGGGGGAAGGGGGAAGGGGGACCAGGGGGGGAGAGGTTGAAGCAGTTGCGGCAGTTTCCCAGTGCTCGCGTGGTGAGACAGTGGAACGACCCGCACTGCTGCTGCATTGTATCCCCCTGTCTGCCAACGCGGCTTGATCAAATAGGGACTGTGGGAATGGCAGCGGCTGCGGGAAGGGGGAAAGGGGAAAGGGAAAGGCGGGGTGGGAAACAGAGTAGGGAGAAGGGGGAACGGGGAAGGGGGTAAGGGGAGACGGAAGGAAGGAGGGGGAAGGGAGGAGAGAGGTGAGGCGAAGGGTGGAGATGAGGGTTGACAAGCCGCGAGATGGCTGCAGGAGTTTATTTGACTCACTAACGTCAGTGCTGTGAAACACGTTAGGCCAACATCCTTGTTGCAGAGCCATGTTTTGATTCGACTCAAAACACATCCTTATTGCAGAGCCGTTCTGGCCCAGTGCGGCATCTGTTCTCTCACGCCAAGCGCACCTCCCCCCTCTCTCTTCCCTCCCCTCCCACCTCCCACCTCCCACCGCTCACCCCTCACTTCCACCGAACCTCTCATCTCAACCGCACCTCTCACCTCTGTGGGGTGTTGCGGCGTGCGGGCAAGGCAGCGGCGGGGTGGCAAGGAGAAGCAGTTTTTGAGGAAGACGAGCTCTTGAACGAAGAACCAGTCGTCGGGGCACATAGCTCTTGCCTCCACGTCCGTGTATCGTTGGATCTGCGACGGAGCCGCCTCACATGCGTAGCCCTGCCGTTGGAGGGGTTGCGAGGAGTGCAGAGCGGTGCAGGGGGGGTGCAAGGGGGCAACAGGGAGAAGAAGTTTTGGCGAAACACAAGCTCCTGCACGAAGAACCAGTCACTGGGGCACAGCGCTCTTGCCTCCACGTCCATGTACGCTGCACCGTCCGCTCATACGCTGCACCGCCCGCTCATACGCTGCACCGCACGCTCATACGCTGCACCGCCCGCTCATACGCTGCACCGCCCGTCTCATACGCTGCACCGCACGCTCATACGCTGCACCGCACGCTCGTACGCTGCACCGCCCGTTCGTACACTGCACCGCCCGTTCGTACGCTGCATCGCACGCTCATACGCTGCACCGCACGCTCATACGCTGCACCGCACGCTCATACGCTGCACCGCACGCTCATGCGCTGCACCGCACGCTCATACGCTGCACCGCCCGCTCATACGCTGCACCGCACGCTCATACGCTGCACCGCCCGCTCATACGCTGCACCGCACGCTCATACGCTGCACCGCACGCTCATACGCTGAACCGCACGCTCATGCGCTGCACCGCACGCTCATACGCTGCACCGCACGCTCATGCGCTGCACCGCACGCTCATACGCTGAACCGCCCGCTCATACGCTGCACCGCACGCTCATATGCTGCACCGCCCGGTCATACGCTGCACCGCACGCTCATGCGCTGCACCGCACGCTCATACGCTGCACCGCCCGCTCATACGCTGCACCGCACGCTCATACGCTGCACCGCACGCTCATACGCTGCATCGCACGCTCATTCGCTGCACCGCACGCTCATACGCTGCACCGCACGCTCATACGCTGCACCGCACGCTCATACGCTGCACCGCACGCTCATACGCTGCACCGCACGCTCATACGCTGCACCGCACGCTCATACGCTGCACCGCACGCTCATACGCTGCACCGCACGCTCATACGCTGCACCGCACGCTCATACGCTGCACCGCACGCTCATACGCTGCACCGCACGCTCATACGCTGCACCGCACGCTCATACGCTGCACCGCACGCTCATACGCTGCACCGCACGCTCATACGCTGCACCGCCCGCTCATACGCTGCACCGCCCGCTCATACGCTGCACCGCCCGCTCATACGCTGCACCGCCCGCTCATACGCTGCACCGCACGCTCATACGCTGCACCGCACGCTCATACGCTGCACCGCAAGCTCATACGCTGCACCGCACGCTCATACGCTGCACCGTAACCTCATACGCTGCACCGCCCGCTCATACGCTGCACCGCCCGCTCATACGCTGCACCGCCCGCTCATACGCTGCACCGCCCGCTCATACGCTGCACCTCCCGCTCATACGCTGCACCTCCCGCTCATACGCTGCACCACACACTCATACGCTGCACCACACGCTCATACGCTGCACCGCACGCTCATACGCTGCACCGCACGCTCATACGCTGCACCGCACGCTCATACGCTGCACCGCACGCTCATACGCTGCACCGCCCGCTGCACCGCCCGGTCATACGCTGCACCGCCCGGTCATACGCTGCACCGCACGCTCATACGCTGCACCGCACGCTCATACGCTGCACCGCCCGCTCATACGCTGCACCGCACGCTCATACGCTGCATCGCACGCTCATGCGCTGCACCGCACGCTCATACGCTGCACCGCACGCTCATACGCTGCACCGCACGCTCATACGCTGCACCGCACGCTCATACGCTGCATCGCACGCTCATACGCTGCATCGCACGCTCATACGCTGCACCGCACGCCCATACGCTGCACCGCACGCCCATACGCTGCATCGCGCGCCCATACGCTGCACCGCACGCCCATACGCTGCACCGCACGCCCATGCGCTGCACCGCACGCCCATACGCTGCACCGCACGCCCATACGCTGCACCGCACGCTCATACGCTGCACCGCACGCTCATACGCTGCACCGCACGCTCATACGCTGCACCGCACGCTCATACGCTGCACCGCACGCTCATACGCTGCACCGCACGCTCATACGCTGCACCGCACGCTCATTCGCTGCACCGCACGCTCATTCGCTGCACCGCACGCTCATACGCTGCACCGCACGCTCATACGCTGCACCGCACGCTCATACGCTGCACCGCACGCTCATACGCTGCACCGCACGCTCATACGCTGCACCGCACGCTCATACGCTGCACCGCACGCTCATACGCTGCACCGCACCCTCATACGCTGCACCGCACGCTCATACGCTGCACCGCACGCTCATACGCTGCACCACACGCTCATACGCAGCACCGCACGCTCATACGCTGCACCGCACCCTCATACGCTGCACCGCACGCTCATACGCTGCACCGCACGCTCATACGCTGCACCGCACGCTCATACGCTGCACCGCACGCTCATACGCTGCACCGCACGCTCATACGCTGCACCGCACGCTCATACGCTGCACCGCACGCTCATACGCTGCACCGCACGCTCATACGCTGCACCGCACGCTCATTCGCTGCACCGCACGCTCATACGCTGCACCGCACGCTCATACGCTGCACCGCACGCTCATACGCTGCACCGCACGCTCATACGCTGCACCGCACGCTCATACGCTGCACCGCACGCTCATACGCTGCACCGCACGCTCATACGCTGCACCGCACGCTCATACGCTGCACCGCACGCTCATACGCTGCACCGCACGCTCATACGCTGCACCGCACCCTCATACGCTGCACCGCACGCTCATACGCTGCACCGCACGCTCATACGCTGCACCACACGCTCATACGCAGCACCTCACGCTCATACGCTGCACCGCACCCTCATACGCTGCACCGCACGCTCATACGCTGCACCGCACGCTCATACGCTGCACCGCACGCTCATACGCTGCACCGCACGCTCATACGCTGCACCGCACGCTCATACGCTGCACCGCACGCTCATAAGCTGCACCGCCCGGTCATACGCTGCACCGCCCGGTCATACGCTGCACCGCCCGGTCATGCGCTGCACCGCACGCTCATGCGCTGCACCGCACGCTCATGCGCTGCACCGCACGCTCATACGCTGCACCGCACGCTCATACGCTGCACCGCACGTTCATACGCTGCACCGCACGCTCATACGCTGAACCGCCCGGTCATACGCTGCACCGCACGCTCATACGCTGCACCGCCCGCTCATACGCTGCACCGCACGCTCATACGCTGCACCGCACGCTCATACGCTGCACCGCACGTTCATACGCTGCACCGCACGCTCATACGCTGCACCGCACGCTCATACGCTGCACCGCCCGGTCATACGCTGCACCGCACGCTCATACGCTGCACCGCCCGCTCATACGCTGCACCGCCCGCTCATACGCTGCACCGCACGCTCATATGCTGCACCGCCCGGTCATACGCTGCACCGCCCGGTCATACGCTGCACCGCACGCTCATACGCTGCACCGCACGCTCATACGCTGCACCGCACGCTCATACGCCGCACCGCACGCTCATACGCCGCACCGCACGCTCATACGCTGCACCGCACGCTCATACGCTGCACCGCACGCTCATGCGCTGCACCGCACGCTCATACGCTGCACCGCACGCTCATACGCTGCACCGCACGCTCATACGCTGCACCGCACGCTCATGCGCTGCACCGCACGCTCATACGCTGCACCGCACGCTCATACGCTGCACCGCCCGCTCATACGCTGCACCGCACGCTCATACGCTGCATCGCACGCTCATGCGCTGCACCGCACGCTCATACGCTGCACCGCACGCTCATACGCTGCACCGCACGCTCATACGCTGCACCGCACGCTCATGCGCTGCACCGCACGCTCATACGCTGCACCGCACGCTCATACGCTGCACCGCACGCTCATACGCTGCACCGCACGCTCATGCGCTGCACCGCACGCTCATACGCTGCACCGCACGCTCATACGCTGAACCGCCCGCTCATGCGCTGCACCGCACGCTCATACGCCGCACCGCACGCTCATACGCCGCACCGCACGCTCATACGCTGCACCGCACGCTCATACGCTGCACCGCACGCTCATACGCTGCACCGCACGCTCATGCGCTGCACCGCACGCTCATACGCTGCACCGCCCGCTCATGCGCTGCACCGCACGCTCATACGCTGCACCGCCCGCTCGTACGCTGCACCGCACGCTCATACGCTGCACCGCACGCTCATACGCTGCACCGCCCGCTCATACGCTGCACCGCACGCTCGTACGCTGCACCGCACGCTCGTACGCTGCACCGCACGCTCATGCGCTGCACCGCACGCTCATACGCTGCACCGCACGCTCATACGCTGCACCGCACGCTCATACGCTGCACCGCACGCTCATGCGCTGCACCGCACGCTCATACGCTGCACCGCACGCTCATACGCTGCACCGCCCGCTCATACGCTGCACCGCACGCTCATACGCTGCATCGCACGCTCATGCGCTGCACCGCACGCTCATACGCTGCACCGCACGCTCATACGCTGCACCGCACGCTCATACGCTGCACCGCACGCTCATGCGCTGCACCGCACGCTCATACGCTGCACCGCACGCTCATACGCTGCACCGCACGCTCATACGCTGCACCGCACGCTCATGCGCTGCACCGCACGCTCATACGCTGCACCGCACGCTCATACGCTGAACCGCCCGCTCATGCGCTGCACCGCACGCTCATACGCCGCACCGCACGCTCATACGCCGCACCGCACGCTCATACGCTGCACCGCACGCTCATACGCTGCACCGCACGCTCATACGCTGCACCGCACGCTCATGCGCTGCACCGCACGCTCATACGCTGCACCGCCCGCTCATGCGCTGCACCGCACGCTCATACGCTGCACCGCCCGCTCGTACGCTGCACCGCACGCTCATACGCTGCACCGCACGCTCATACGCTGCACCGCCCGCTCATACGCTGCACCGCACGCTCGTACGCTGCACCGCACGCTCGTACGCTGCACCGCACGCTCATACGCTGCACCGCCCGCTCATGCGCTGCACCGCACGCTCATACGCTGCACCGCACGCTCATGCGCTGCATCGCACGCTCATACGCTGCACCGCACGCTCATACGCTGCACCGCACGCTCATACGCTGCACCGCACGCTCATGCGCTGCACCGCACGCTCATACGCTGCACCGCCCGCTCATACGCTGCACCGCACGCTCATACGCTGCACCGCCCGCTCATACGCTGCACCGCACGCTCATACGCTGCACCGCACGCTCATACGCTGAACCGCACGCTCATGCGCTGCACCGCACGCTCATACGCTGCACCGCACGCTCATGCGCTGCACCGCACGCTCATACGCTGAACCGCCCGCTCATACGCTGCACTGCACGCTCATATGCTGCACCGCCCGGTCATACGCTGCACCGCACGCTCATGCGCTGCACCGCACGCTCATACGCTGCACCGCCCGCTCATACGCTGCACCGCACGCTCATATGCTGCACCGCCCGGTCATACGCTGCACCGCACGCTCATGCGCTGCATCGCACGCTCATACGCTGCACCGCCCGCTCATGCGCTGCACCGCACGCTCATACGCTGCACCGCACGCTCATACGCTGCACCGCACGCTCATACGCTGCACCGCACGCTAATGCGCTGCACCGCACGCTCATACGCTGCACCGCACGCTCATACGCTGCACCGCAAGCTCATACGCTGCACCGCACGCTCATACGCTGCACCGTAACCTCATACGCTGCACCGCCCGCTCATACGCTGCACCGCCCGCTCATACGCTGCACCGCCCGCTCATACGCTGCACCGCCCGCTCATACGCTGCACCGCCCGCTCATACGCTGCACCACCCGCTCATACGCTGCACCGCACGCTCATACGCTGCACCACACACTCATACGCTGCACCGAACGCTCCTACGCTGCACCGCACGCTCATACGCTGCACCGCACGCTCATGCGCTGCACCGCACGCTCATACGCTGCACCGCACGCTCATACGCTGCACCGCACGCTCATACGCTGCACCGCACGCTCATACGCTGCACCGCACGCTCATACGCTGCACCGCACGCTCATACGCTGCACCGCACGCTCATACGCTGCACCGCCCGCTCATACGCTGCACCGCCCGCTCATACGCTGCACCGCCCGCTCATACGCTGCACCGCCCGCTCATACGCTGCACCGCACGCTCATACGCTGCACCGCACGCTCATACGCTGCACCGCAAGCTCATACGCTGCACCGCACGCTCATACGCTGCACCGCCCGCTCATACGCTGCACCGCCCGTTCGTACGCTGCACCGCACGCTCATACGCTGCACCGCACGCTCATACGCTGCACCGCACGCTCATGCGCTGCACCGCACGCTCATACGCTGCACCGCACGCTCATGCGCTGCATCGCACGCTCATACGCTGCACCGCACGCTCATACGCTGCACCGCACGCTCATACGCTGCACCGCACGCTCATGCGCTGCACCGCACGCTCATACGCTGCACCGCCCGCTCATACGCTGCACCGCACGCTCATACGCTGCACCGCCCGCTCATACGCTGCACCGCACGCTCATACGCTGCACCGCACGCTCATACGCTGAACCGCACGCTCATGCGCTGCACCGCACGCTCATACGCTGCACCGCACGCTCATGCGCTGCACCGCACGCTCATACGCTGAACCGCCCGCTCATACGCTGCACCGCACGCTCATATGCTGCACCGCCCGGTCATACGCTGCACCGCACGCTCATGCGCTGCACCGCACGCTCATACGCTGCACCGCCCGCTCATACGCTGCACCGCACGCTCATATGCTGCACCGCCCGGTCATACGCTGCACCGCACGCTCATGCGCTGCATCGCACGCTCATACGCTGCACCGCCCGCTCATGCGCTGCACCGCACGCTCATACGCTGCACCGCACGCTCATACGCTGCACCGCACGCTCATACGCTGCACCGCACGCTAATGCGCTGCACCGCACGCTCATACGCTGCACCGCACGCTCATACGCTGCACCGCAAGCTCATACGCTGCACCGCACGCTCATACGCTGCACCGTAACCTCATACGCTGCACCGCCCGCTCATACGCTGCACCGCCCGCTCATACGCTGCACCGCCCGCTCATACGCTGCACCGCCCGCTCATACGCTGCACCGCCCGCTCATACGCTGCACCACCCGCTCATACGCTGCACCGCACGCTCATACGCTGCACCACACACTCATACGCTGCACCGAACGCTCCTACGCTGCACCGCACGCTCATACGCTGCACCGCACGCTCATGCGCTGCACCGCACGCTCATACGCTGCACCGCACGCTCATACGCTGCACCGCACGCTCATACGCTGCACCGCACGCTCATACGCTGCACCGCACGCTCATACGCTGCACCGCACGCTCATACGCTGCACCGCACGCTCATACGCTGCACCGCCCGCTCATACGCTGCACCGCCCGCTCATACGCTGCACCGCCCGCTCATACGCTGCACCGCCCGCTCATACGCTGCACCGCACGCTCATACGCTGCACCGCACGCTCATACGCTGCACCGCAAGCTCATACGCTGCACCGCACGCTCATACGCTGCACCGCCCGCTCATACGCTGCACCGCCCGTTCGTACGCTGCACCGCACGCTCATACGCTGCACTGCACGCTCATACGCTGCACCGCACGCTCATACGCTGCACCGCACGCTCATACGCTGCACCGCACGCTCATACGCTGCACCGCACGCTCATACGCTGCACCGCACCCTCATACACTGCACCGCCTCACATGCGTAGCCCTGTGGTTTTATGGGGGAGCTTGTGAGAATTCTCAGGAGTGACTCCGAGAGGGCAGAGAGGTGAATTTTGAGGCGCCTCACAAGCAGTCTGTATACATATCTGAAGCAGCAGAGAGATGGGCTGGGTCCATCCCAAGCAGCAAACTGGGCGTGGCTGGTTGGGGGAGGATGGAGTTGCACTGACCTTCCAGGAGAGCGGAGGGCCCTTGGGACCGCGCTTGGACTGCCTCTGCAGTGCGCGGCGGTCGAGAGACAGCACGGCACAGCGGTCGGGGTGAGAGGGCGCGGTGGAGAGTAGGAACTGGAGGGGCGGAGGGGGGGTGGGGACAAGTGGCAGGGGGTGAGGTATAGCGGCAGCGTGGAGGAAAATCAGTGGGCACGGAAGGCTGAGCGAAGCGGCACAGAGAGGCTCTTGTCACAAGGGCTGTGTGAATGGCATGGTGCATTGTAACAACGGCTGATACAATGCATTGTGCATTGTACTGGGAGGTACATGGCGGGTGAGGTTGGCCGTGGCCCAGTGCCCCTCACACTGCAACACTGGGTAGCTTTTGAGTCGACTCAACAGTCATCTCTTTCTCTTCCTCTCTCTCAACAGTACCATGCGAGCGAATCATATGAATTGTGGTGCATACATGGCGGGTGAGGTTGGCCGTGGCCCAGTGCCCCTCGCCCTGCAACACCGGGGGTGGCTTTTGAGTCGACCCAACAGTCATCTCCTTCTCTCCTTCTCTCTTATGGCAAGTGCGGTGCGAGCAAGCAAATCACGAGAACTGCAGTACATACATGGCGGGTGAGGTTGGCCGTGGCCCAGTGTCCCTCGCCCTGCAACACCGCCCGCAAGTTACCCGCCTCCTTAGCAACCTGCTCTGTTGCCACCTGGTAGAGAGGGAGCACAAGAGGACAGCAAGTGGGGACGGAATGGGCGTGAGGAATTTTTGCTTCAGCACTGCGCGCATGTTGCCCGCCTCCTTTGCCACGTGCTCTGTTGCCACGTGCTCTGTTGCCACGTGCTCTGTTGCCACCTGGTGGTAGTAGGGATGCACGCATGTGAGGATAGCAAGGTAAAGAGAGGAAGCGAGAGCGAATAAGGCAGAGCGGGAAGAGAGAGAGGGCATGAAGCGGAAAGAGATGGGCGAAGAGAGGGATGCGGGAGAAGAGAGGCCACGGGGCACGAAGAGAGAGACACACACAAGGCGCATGCCAGCTCACTCACTGCCAGGTCGCTCATCTTGGTTTTCATTGCCGCCATTTCTGCTTCCACTGCCGCCACCGCTGTTTGCAACCCCTCCACCGTCCCTGCTGGATCCACCAACAGCCGCCTGCGTGCTCCTGCTGCTCCTGCTGCTCCTGTTTGAGAGGTCTCAAAAGCCGCTGCTTGCAACCCCTCCACCGTCCCTCCTGCTTCCACCAGCAGCCGCCTGCGCGCCCCTGCTGCTCCTTTTTGAGACGTCTCAAGGGCTGCTGCTTGTAACCCCTCAGCCGCCCCTGCTGGCTCCACCAACAGCCGCCTGCGTTCTCTTGCTGCTCCTGCCTCGCCATGTGACGCACACATTGGGAAGGGAGAGGGCACGACGTGGAGGCATGCAGTGAGAGGAGAACAATCGTAAAGAGGAGACCAAACACATGGAGAGAAGACGCAATATGTGCGGAGGTGACTTTTGAGTCGACTCAAAAGTCACCTCGTCAATACGTGCAAGAGGAGGACAACAGCAATCATAGCGAGTGGGCTGGGCGAATGGGCGAGTGACAGGTGGAGGCAAGCGACCTGCACACACACGTGGCATCACTCACTCTCTCGCAGAGCCCTCAGCCGATCCACCTCCTGCCAGCACTCGGAGCATTCCTCCTTACTGCCCGCCGCCCCGCGATTCCCTCGCCCAGCTGTCTCCTCCTCCTCCGCCTCACCCGCCGCTTCTTTCTCCCCTCCACCCGCCCCTCCACCCGCCCCTCCACCCGACCCTCCACCCGACCCTCCACCCGCCCCTCCGGCCCCTCCTGCTAGCTCAGGGCTGCTTCTGCTGCTTGCGCTGCTGCTGTGATTGCTGTTGCTGCTGGCGTTGAAAGGCGTGGCAGGTGATGGGCGCCCCCACATGCCACTGCTCCATGCTCACATGCATGCACACACATATACACACACATGGCAGCACACACTCACGCTCACACATACACGCACACATGGCAGCACACACACAACCACAGGCAGAACCACAGGGTGCTTGAAACTTCACAGAGGCACGCAAGTGAGCAACGTGCAATCTTGCATCAACCTCTTCCTCCCCTTGCTCTCTCCCCTTGCTCTCTCCCCCTCCCTCACCCCACACTCACTCTCGTCTCCAGTCTCACTTCCCATCCCCTCCGTCCCCCACCCTCCTGCCCCCTCTTCTCCCATCCCCTCCCCCTCACCTCACTATCCGCGTCAGTGGTCCGCTCACCGCCTCCTCCTCCCCGCCTCCCCCCGCGCGCGCCTCCCCTCGTGCGCGCGCAGTGGAGGGCAGCATAGGGGCGATCTGCTCCGACGCCACCAGCGCCACAAACACAACACTCACTAACGCGTACGGCCAGTTCGCCTTCCGCGACGGCCGCAGCCGCGCGCACAGCGCGCCGAGGCACGCGCAGCCCCCGCATAGCAACCCGCCCCCCTGCTGCGCCCTTCCCCCCCCCATCCGCGCCCGCCGCGCCGGGCGCCTGAGTCCGCCGCCGCGCGATCCTTCTTGGCGCGCAGTGGTTTGCAGCTTGGGCGCGGAGGTGGCGACGAACGGCGCGCCGTACGACATGGCGGCGTGCGACGAGCCATACGGCAGGCGACCGCCCACGCGACGCTCCGGACCTGGCAGGCGACGGCGGGCGACGGGGAGGAGAAGGAGATGCGGCAGTGGGAGAGAGGAGGGCAGCGGGGGAGGCAGTGAGAGGTGAGAAGCAGCAGGGAAGAGCGAATTGGGGCGGGGGGGAGAGAGGGGGGAGAGGAGTAGGTAGGGGGGGGTGCTGGAAGAGGAATGCCTTGAGGCACACAAGGCAGCAACGGCTACATCAGAGCTGGAGGCACCTGGAGGCGGCATGCTGAGCTGCGCGCGCAGGATGCGGCGGCGGCGACGAGGCCGTTGAGGCCGACGACGGCGCACACGGCAGCGATGTCTCCGCGCGCGGCCTATCTCACACCATCTCTACTGATCCTCTCTCCATTCCCCTCCCCCCGACGATCACGATCACGATTGGCGGCGAACAACGCTCACTTCCCGACTAGGAATGGCCAGCCTGTAGACCCTCTACCTGTTTCTCAGAGCGAGTGGGAACGTCACGGATTAACGCCGTAAGAATCTTGAGTGCTATCTGGGTATCCTCCACTCGTGGTCGGCTCGGATCGAGTGAATAGTTTGCAGGGGTAGGTGAAGCACGGGCGCGAAATTTGGGATCAACCGGTCTGCGGTGCGGGGTGGGCTAGTGGCAGAGGAAAAACGCGTACGTTTCAATAGCTCAAATACGGTAAATCTGACACTAACCATATAGATTAAATCATTTTGATTACAAGTGAACACTACTTCTGGGTGCCAGAAAATCCTACTCAACAAAGGTACATACTAAATAATGCAGCTGATTTGCATCACGGATCTAAACAGACACAGTGCTGAGCTTGGATGCCACCTCAGCAGCGTAGACGCGAGCCCATTGGTCGAAGTGCACGATGTCCTCGAGTGACGGGGCGAGCACGAGGTCGTTGCGATGGCGGTCACACGTGGCCTCGATCACCCGGCAGATGTCCAGATAGTGGATCCTGAGAGGGAAAGCGATGGGGGGGGGAGGGAAGGGAGGGAAAGAGAGGGATAATTGTGAGTTCTTGCTCCACACTCTTGTGATCAACAAACTCACTTGTCATCGAGGAACATCTCCACAGCCTGCTCGTTGGCGGATGGTGAGAGGCACACCACCCATCTATCCCATTTACACCCACGCATCCGTGTTCAATGTAAGGTACATTCTTGCGCCACTCACTTGTCATCGAGGAACATCTCCACAGCCTGCTCGTTGGCAGCGCTGAGCACGCCAGTCATCGTGCCGCCCGCCCGTCCCGCTGCATATGAGAGGTCCATGGACGGGTACTTGTCACGGTTGGGCTCTCTGAATGTCAAGTCTCCCATCCTGCAGTGGTTTGAGGAGGCGACGACGGGTGTGTGCGGAATGGGAAGTTGGGCGTTGAGGAAACGGTCAGGGGTCTAGTGGCAAGTGAAGAGGCTCAGAGTATATGAGTAGAAAAAGCAGGGAAAGAAAATTGTGACAGCATGAGCGGAAAAAACCACGAGGGAAGTGGGCATGAGGGCACGGGGGCAGCACTTGATGAAGTCAATGCGGGGCCAGGTGACTTCGGAGGTGGGAACACGGTCAGGCCAGGAGAGCGTGTAGAGGATGGGCAGGAGAAGAGAGCATGAGGGCACGAGGGCATGGGGGTATTAGTGCATGGGGAACGAGGGAGCTAGAGGGCATGGGGGTCGCACTTGATGAAGTCAAGGCGGGGCCAGGTGACTTCGGAGGTGGGAACACGGTCAGGCCAGGAGAGCGTGTAGAGGATGGGCAGGAGAAGAGAGCATGAGGGCACGAGGGCATGGGGGTATTAGTGCATGGGGAACGAGGGAGCTAGAGGGCATGGGGGCCGCACTTGATGAAGTCGAGGCGGGGCCAGGTGACTTCGGAGGTGGGGACACGGTCAGGCCATGAGAGCGTGTAGAGAATGGGCAGACGCATGTCCGGCCACCCCAGCTGCGCCAACACCGATGAATCCTGGAGGGGGGGAGAGGGAGGGAAGGGGATAAGGCAATGGAAGCACAGGGCGAATCTCATGCAATCAAATCGCGAAGTGAGTGAGATCCACGAGGAGGAAAAGGAGCAGAGGCAGGGCATGACAAGGAGAGAGAGGAGAGAGAATAGTTTCTTCCCCATGCTCTCAGGCAGGCCCAAGCATGTTCTCAGCCACTCCCACGCACATGCGTCTCATCCATGGAGTGGATGATGCTCTGCGGGTGGATGGCCATGTCAATAGCCATGGGGCATGGCCTCATGTGTGAAGTCTGTGAAGTATGTTTGCTGTAACACACACCCACCTGCGTCTCAACCATGGAGTGGATGATGCTCTGAGGGTGGATCACGATGTCAATGTTGTCGTAGTCAGCGCCAAACAGGTAATGCGCCTCTATCACCTCCAGGCCCTGTTAGTGGGACAACAGGGGATGGCAGGGGATTATGGGGGGTTAGGGGATTAAAGGTTAGTCAAAATCGGACCCATGAGGCATGTATAAATATTGTGCTTTGGTAACCCAGGCTTTGTTGCGTGCCTTGTTCATTGCCACACAAGGTGCTTAGATCTGATACTGATCTCTTGTGATCTTCTACACTCTGGATGCCTGCTTCGATCCCTCTCCCCACCGTCTTCCCTCCCCCCTGCGGCCTGCGGGCTGCCATCGTGCGGGTTGCCCCCAACCCACCTTGTTCATAAGCGTGGCGGAGTCAACGGTAATCTTCCAACCATGCCCCACTTGGGGTGCTTCTGGGGTCACCTCCTTGTGCTTCTCAAATGGCCAGTTCCCCCCGCCCGGCTGCAACCTGCTCCCCTCCCAGTGCATGCACCTTGTTCATGAGCGTGGCAGAGTCGACAGTGATCTTCCGGCCCATGCCCCACTTGGGGTGCTTCAACGCATCTCCTGGAGTCACCTTGTCCTTTCCCAACCTGGGTGCACTCTCCCTACCCCTCCTCAACCCCCCCCCCGTCCCCTCTTCCCTCCCCCTGCCCCCCTGCAGCCTGCCTCACCCACCTTGTTCATAAGCGTGGCGGAGTCGACAGTAATCTTCCGGCCCATGCTCCAGTTGGGGTGCTTCAACGCGTCCGCTGGAGTCACCTCCTTCAGCTTCTCCACCGGCCAGTCCCTGAGGGGGAGGGGAGGGGGGTGGGGTGAATGGAAGGGGGGGTAGGTGGGTGTGCGATTCTTGAGGCGCTGAGGTAATTGCCAGCACTACGTGCTCCAGTTGGGGTGCTTCAGCGCGTCCACTGGGGTCACCTCCTTCAGCTTCTCCACCGACCAGTCCCTGGGGGAGAAGTACGAGGAGGGGGGGGGGGGGAGGGGAGGGGGTTGGTTATAGAGAGGAAGGGTGAGTGCCATCTGGCATGAGATTTGGTGTGGCATGTACATGGCATGTGGACTGTGGCATGGCACGTGGCATAACTGGTCGAATGTGACATGTCATGTGGAACGTGGTGTGCCATGTGAAGTGTACCATGTGGCATGGCAGGTGGCATGGCATGTGGATTGTGGCACAGCACGGCATGTGGCATGGAGTGTAACATGGCATGTGGCATGGCATGTGACATGGATGGAGTGTAACATGGCACGTGAGAGCGCACCTGAAGGCGCCACCAGAGGCAGTGAGAATGATGCGGCGCAGCCCACCCTCTGGCAGCCCTTGGATGCACTGCCGCGCACACAGGGGGGAAGAGGGGGGTGAAGGGGGGAAGAATTACACGTGGTCTCCCAAGCAGGGTCAGGAGTCAAGACGAATTCAATGTGGTCAAAGTGTGTTAAGAGGGGTATAGATAGATGGGTGAAGTAGAAGGGAGGAAGAAACAGGAGTGCTTGGTTGGTTGGTTGGTTGCTTGGGTGGGTGGGTGGGTGGGTGGGTGGGTGGGTGGGTGGGTGGGTGGGTGGGTGGGTGGGTGGGTGGGTGGGTGGGGAGGGCGTACCTGGAAGATGGCGGAGTGCTCCGAGTCAGCAGGCAGGATGTGGCAGCCGTGCTCCTTTGAAGCCGACTCAAAAGCCATCTGCTGCCGCACCCAAGCCCAAAGAATGGGTGAGGCACACCTGGGGAGGGCGCACCTGGAAGATGGCAGAGTGCTCTGAGTCAGCGGGCAGGATGTGGCAGCCGTGCTTCTTGGCGAGCGGCAGCACGTACGGCCCGCCTGCGATGAGCGTCTCCTTGTTCGCCAGAGCAATGTCCTTGCCCGCCTCTATGGACGCCACTGTCGGCTGCATGCACATGGTCACATGGCAACACAGGCACATAGGCACACATGGACATGGTCAGACTTGTATATCTGTATATGGGGCAGCACAGCACGTACGGCCCGCCTGCAATGACCGTCTCCTTGTTGGCCAGGGCGATGTCCTTGCCCGCCTCTATGGCCGCCACTGTCGGCTGCACGCATGCACGCATGGACACATACGTGAAACGATAACAGTGAGAGGCCAGAACGAGCGGGACTCGACGTGTTGTGAAGCAGCAGAGCGCACACCTATGGGCGTCTCCCACATGAAAGCTCATCATGGCAAGCTACAGCCAGTCACCCGCCTCTCACACAGCCTGCCCCCCGCCCAACCTACCTTGAGTCCCGCGCACCCCACAATGCCTGTGACCACTGTCTCCGCATCCGGGTGCCGTGCCACCTGCCACCCCCACCTCAGCGAGCCTGCCTCTGACAGCCTGTACAGCGAGTACAGCCTGCGGGTCGTACCTTCAGTCCCGCGCACCCCACAATGCCTGTGACCACTGTCTCCGCGTCCGGGTGCCGTGCCACCTGCATGGTCAGCACACGTGGGGCACATACAGGGCACACATGAGGCACACGTGGGGCACACGTGCAGCACACATAGACGGCACCCTCACACACATGCAGGCACGCAAATACCCACACCCATGCAGATACGCTCACACCCACGCAGACACGCACAGCGGAGCCTGGGATGAGATTAGAGCGGTGAATCAATGTAAGGCGACCGAACGACTCCCTGAGCCTCCACCTGCCTGCCTCCGCCGCATTCCCCTCCCCCTCCCGCCCTTCCTTCTTCCCTTTCTCACCCCAACGCCTCCTTTACACCCCCACCTCCGTCCTCCATAACCCCACCCCTCCTCCTTCGTGACCCCCCCTCCCCTCGACGATCCCCGAGTTCCCCGCCACAATCTACGGCATGGACTCCCCCGCGAGCGTTGCCTCCTACCGCCACCTCGTCTACACAAATTCCACCTCTCCTCCACGCCCCCCCCTCACTCACCTCTACAATCCCCGAATCCCCAGCCACGATCTCAGGCATGCGCTCCATCCCCGCGAGCGCCTCCTTGAGCTCCGCCACCAGCGCGGGGTTCTGCACCGACACCAGCGACGGTTGGAACTGGCGCACCTGCTCCGCGCATAGGGGGAAGCGCACGGGCGAGAGGAGGAAGGGGCCAAGGAGTGAGGGTTAATAGGAGCGCCAAGAACGCGGGGTTCTGCACCGACACCAGCGACGGATGGAACTGGCGCACCTGCTCCGCGCGCACGGCGGGGCAACGGCGCGAGCAGACACGGGAGAGAATGGCACGAAGGGAGTGAGGCAAAACCTGTTGCGCCATGCACCTGTTGCGCCACGCTTTCGCACCTGCTGCGCCATGCGCACCTGTTACCCCACGCGCACCTGCTACCCCACGCGCACCTGCTACCCCACGCGCACCTGTTACCCCATGCGTGCGCACCTGCTGCGCCATGTTTGCGCACCTGCTGCGCCAGGAGCGTGATGTTGGAGCCGGCGGCGAGCGCAACGACCTTGAACCTGTCGGGATGCTCCGCCACTATGTCCAAAGTCTGCCGCCCACGCCCACGAGGGAGCGGGGACGGGGCGAGAGGGGAAGCAGGAGAGAGGAAGAGAAAGGCGAAGAGGGGGGAGGGGGGGGGGGGGGGGGGGGGGGGGGGGGGGGGGAAGGGGAAGGGGGGGAGGGTGGGGGTGGGGGAAGGAGGGGAGTGGGGGTGTGTGGGGTGGGGGATGTATAATAACACAGAAACCGGTCAAAGTGGCCACAACATAGTCTTTGGTCTTTCGACAGCGAAACGTTTCCCACCTGAGTGCATCGCGTCTCACCTGAGTGTTTTGTGCCTCACCAGAGTGCCACGTGTCTCGCATGCGTGTCACCAGAGTGCCACGTGTCTCACCTGAGTGCCGATAGACCCGGTCGACCCGATCAGCGAGATCGCCTTCGGCTCGGCCCAGTTGTGCGGCGACGCCGGCGCCTCGGCGCGCCCCGGCCATGCGGGCGGCACCGCCGACGTTTCGGCTGCGGCGGATGCGCGCGCGGCGGAGGCAGCAGCGACGCGACGACGGCTCGTCTGGGCTGCGCGGGACACGGCGATGGGCAATGGAACGGGGCGCGAAGGGCAAGGGGACGGAAGTGCGCGACGGCACACGGGCATTAGATTAAACCATCCGTATGCAAGGACGACTCTCGAAGAAAAGGAACCCACCTAAGCTACGCAATAGAGAGCTCGCCGACAGAGCATCTCAGGAACAGACCGCGAGAGTACCTCAGAATGAGTACCTTGAGACGAGTACCTTCAAACGAGTAACCCAAAACGAGTACCTCAAAGCGAGTACCTCAAAGCGAGTACCTCAAAGCGAGTACCTCAAAGCGAGTACCTTGAGGCTTGGATCCCGCGAGGGATGCAGCGGACGAGGCGAGGCGAGTCTGGGACGCGCACAGCCCGCTGACCTGCGCGGGGGAACGGCGGGGGGGATGAGAATGAACGGCGAGGATTGGGAGAGGGTGATGAGAACGAGCGACATTTGTCAACAATGAGAGGGAGGGCGGCAGCGTTGGAGAAGGGACATCAGACAATCATGCAATGATGTCCCTTAGGTTCGACGGGAGGGCACCTTGAGGTTGGCCGCAGCCGGAAGGAGCGTGGCGGAAGCCATGGGGTCACGTAGTGACTGTTGTTGCGGCTCAGAGTTGAGCTAGGTAAAGGGAGAGCGCACCGTCGGATGGTCTCCGAACGGAAAAGGCAAAAAGCGCAAGTGAAAAGCAGCAGTGAGGAGGGCAGCAAGGCATGCGAATTGCGCTGGGCCATGGTGGTGGGAATCGGGACGGAGGGATGATCCCAAGGGACGGAGGTCCACACACGCTGCCACATGGAAGGGACTGCCACGTCGTTTCCCGGGGATAGGCCTGCCCGCTAAAAATATTTCGGTAGCCTCCTATCAAACCAGCGAACTGTGGATCAGGAAAACATGTCAAGTTGCTTTCTACATACCAGTTTTGTAAAGAACGATTTGACAAAGGTTTTGGCATGCTCGGACATATTTGCATTAACAAAATAAGCATTTTGATTAATTTTATTTTGTATATTCACTGGACTTATTTGTTTAACAGCATTGACACTTGATTATGTGAGCCCATTCGTCCTTACATAAGGCAGAAACAATCATTGTATTACATAATATTGTATGCCAGTGTTGAAAATTTCTGTGCGAATTCAAGCTCTTTGAACTCCCCTTCACCGACTAAAAATATGATGGGAGATACACTCAAACGCAGAATGGTGAATTTGTGGACAATTGACACAACCGCTCAAAACCGTTGATCCTCTCCACTAGGAACCTGCTCCCGCTCACACTCCGCCTCGCACTTTCCCCCCCCAGAATCTCCGCTTGGTGCAACCGCACGGCGCTGTGTTTCCGCACAACCCGCTTCCCCGCTCCGCCCGCTCACTGCGCGCCACCTTTCCTTCCCCGCATCCCCCACTCACCTCCCCCCCACGGCTCTCCCTTTTTCTTTCCCCCTTCGCCTCTCCCTAGCCCTCTTTCTCTCCCTCCGCTTCACCTCGGAACTGGTAGTCGCAGCCTTCTTAGCAGCCGTTCCGCAAACCCTAATTCTCTTTTCGCCCTTTATTCTCTTCTCCGTCCTCTCGCCTCTGTCTCCTAACTCGCCGCCATGGGTGAGCAACTTAGCTTCCGCGGCCACCTCAAGGGCCACTCCGATTGGGTCACGTCGATCGCGTGCCCGATCGACAACAGCGATTCTATCATCTCATGCTCGCGCGATAAGGGCATCATGTCGTGGTCGCTCACTCGCGACGCCGCCTCCGCCACGGGCGTGCAGCTCGCCGGTGTGCCCAAGCGCCGCCTCACCGGCCACGGCGGTTTCGTGCAGGTGAAGCTTCGAATATTTTAGATTCCTTTTTTTTCACGGAGGTTTCGTGCAGCTGCGTTTCATTGTAGATTCTCGGTCTCCCGGCGTAAACCGCGCAATTCTCCGGTCTGTTAGTGGATCTAAAAATCTCTGGTGTTGTGGCTGAGCTAGCTGCGCTCATTATGCGACAAAGAGCCCGTGTGTTTGCACAATGGTGTGATTTGCCGAACTAGTTAGTAGCTCGTCGAGGCTCACATTTGTGCCCGCCGCTCGAGGTATTCGCGGATTGCTTAGTAATTTATAGATGGTGTGTGGCCGCCATTCGTCGACTGTCGTCCCGCAGCAACACCTTTCCTGTTGGCCGTTTATTCACGTCGCCATTCTTCTCGTTCCTTCGTCTTCATGCTCTCTGGTCGCACTCACCCAGTATAACGCATACGCTAGGTCTTCCGATGGTCAGATAGGGCTCTCCGGCTTGCGGGACCTGAACACTAGCGCATTCTGATTCACGTCTCCCTTCCCCTTTCCCCACACTCACCCTCTAACGCGTACAACAGGACGTCGTGATCTCATCCGACGGTCAGTTCGCGCTGTCCGGCTCGTGGGACAGCACCCTCCGCCTGTGGGACCTCAACACCGGCGCCACCACGCGCCGCTTCGTCGGCCACACCAAGGACGTGCTCAGCGTCGCCTTCAGCGTCGACAACCGTCAGATCGTGTCCGGGTCGCGCGATCGCAGCATCAAGCTGTGGAACACGCTGGGCGAGTGCAAGTACACGATGAACGACGCGGACGCTCACCAGGGGTGGGTGTCGTGCGTGCGCTTCTCGCCCGTCAACACGCAGCCCATCATCGTCTCCGCCGGCTGGGACAAGGTCCGTTGGGCGGTTGTAACGGGCTCGTTGGGCGCCTTGAAGTAGGCTCGTTGGGTGGTTGGGATTAGGTTCGTTGGGCGGATGCGGCAAAGTACCTTGGAGGCTAGAATAATATCTAATCAGCGGATGGCATCAGGCTTCTACCATGAGGTTCTAAACGGTCGCAGTTGGGTTGGATTACGTACCTTTCCAGCCAAGGTGGGGTACCGGGATTGCAGGTTTCGTACTTTCTCCCTAAGCAGCTGCGACGCTAGAGTGTGCACTAGCGGAACGGCCCCTCCCTTTGCCCCTCTTGCACGGGCGGCCTCCTCCGTCTGTCCCTCTCGCACATGCACACGTCCGACGCGTCAGAACCATCCCGTAGAGCCTTGTGAGTCGATTCCAAAGTCGGGTCAGATTTCGCTGGGTTGGCTCGTGGGTCACGTGGGGCTGCGAAGCTCGATCGCGTTTTCCTCATCCCGTCCAACAATCGAGTCTTCCTTGTTCCCCCCTTCCATTTCCTCTTCCTTCAGCACCTCTCTCCTCCCCTACCCCCAACCCCACCCCCTTTCAACCCCCCTCCCCCTCCCCGTTCCCCCTCCCCCCGCCCTCTTTCCTCCATTCCCGCCCTCCTTCCGCCCCCCTTCCCCTTCCACTTCCCCTCCCCTTCTCTTTTCCCCCTCCCCGTTCCCATTCTCTTCCTTCTTCTCCCTTCCCCCCACCCCTTCCGCCCGCCGTTCCCCCCGCCATTCCCCCTGACCACTTGCAAGCTCCGTCACAGCCTGCTCCCATCAACACCACCATTGCTCCCTGTCCCCTCCCCTCCCCCCTTGCCCCTTCCCCCTTTCCCCCCCCCCTTCTCCTCTACACCTCCAGGTGGTGAAGGTGTGGAACCTGACCAACTGCAAGCTCCGCCAGAACCTGCTCCCATCAACACCACTGTCTCTCCTCGTCCCCTCCCCTTCCCTTTGCCCCTCTCCCCTTGCCCCTCCCCCCTTCCCCGGGCCGCTCTCCTTTACTCGACCAGGTGGTGAAGGTGTGGAACCTGACCAACTGCAAGCTCCGCCAGAACCTGCTGGGCCACACCGGCTACGTCAACACGGTGATCGTTTCCCCTGACGGCTCGCTGTGCGCGTCCGGCGGAAAGGACGGCGTGGCGATGTTGTGGGACCTGGCGGAGGGCAAGCGGCTGTACTCGCTCGACGCGGGCGACATCATCCACTCGCTCTGCTTCTCCCCGAACCGCTACTGGCTGTGCGCCGCGACGCAGTCGTCGATTAAGATCTGGGACCTGGAGAGCAAGAGCCTCGTGGACACGCTCGTGCCGGACTACGAGCTGGTCCGCGCGCGCGGGGGCGCGGAGTTCAAGGGCCAGGTGAGGGGAGGGGGGGGAGGAAGGGTGGGGTAGTTGAGCGGGAGGGACGGCGCAATTGGGTAAGGGGACATGTGAGGGGAGGGGAATGGGGCAAATTGGAATACGAGGGGGAAATGACAGGGTGTATGGGGGAAGAGAGGGGTGTTGAGGTGAGCTGGAGAGCAAGAGCCTCGTGGACACGCTCGTGCCGGACTACGAGCTAGCTCGCGCGCGCGGGGGCGCGGAGTTCAAGGGCCAGGTGAGGAGAGGGGAGGTGGTGGAACGGGAGGGGCAAGTGGGCGGGGGGGCTAGGTTAAGCTGGATGGGAAGTGGGAAAGTTCAACGGGCAGGTGAGTGCGGGAAAGGTTAAGGAGCAGGTGACAGGACGAGATGAGGGAAGTTAGGGAAATGCAGGGCTTCGTGGGGTGTGGAGGGTGAAGCTGGGGTAAGGGGGAAGTGGTGGGCAAGGAAGGACCATGCGGTGAGACCCGGTGGCACCTCGTGTCATAGTAGTTCGCCCTGTTCACGCTAATATCTGGGCCCTACTGGGAGGAATGGGATGGGGGGGGCAGGGGGACATGTTAAGGCATGGTAGATTGTAAGTGCCAGTTGAACAGAAGTGTTTGGCGTTTCCGAAAAAGAGTTGTTCAAAAAATGGAGGCCAGGGAAGCAGGGGTTCAGGGGAGGTGAAATGAGAGGAGTACGGAGTTTTATGGGCAGGAGAACGGGGCAAATGTGGCACCTTGGACAGGGGAAGAAGTGGGGTTTAGTAGGCTGAGTTTGATAGATATTAAGGCGTATCCTGCCCCGGTCCTGTGAAACAGAGATTGAGGTGAAGGCGCGGCTCCAGCGGAAAGGTGGTATTTTGCTCCAGTGATGTGTGGGCTTCGTTGGGTAGGAGGCTGGGGGAACAAGCTGATGGGTGATGATGCAGAGGGTGGTAACTACCTCAATCGCAAGGTTGTTGGGTTTGAAGTTGCGAATTTAGAGAGCTGGTATTGCATGGAGGACTTTCAGGAGTTGCTCCGAGTGTGCCAACTTTTCGCCGCTTCTCACTCTCCACCCATGCTTATCCATCCCCTTTCCTGCCTCCCCACTCTCTCCCACATGAACCTTTCCCGCCCATTTCCTTGCTCTTTTCTCGCTCGCCCCCTCTTGTTGTCCCTGTACCAGACGCCGTACTGTGTGAGCCTCAACTGGAGCGCAGATGGAGCCACCCTCTATGGTGGTTACACCGACGGTTACATCCGTGTCTGGTCCGTTGGCCGCGGCTTCTAAGGAGGTTTGAACTCAAATAGAAGCTGGCCGTTTTCTGGACAATCTACAGCTGGCGGAGACGGGGCGTTTAGAGATGTTCTGCTGTGCTGTACGAAGCGCCCTAGGGGATTGTGCCCAAAGGTGTTGGTCGTTATGTTTTTGTGGTGCTTGTTGCAGTAGCATGCTGTAATCTTCTTATTGGTGCAAGTGAAATGCATTCACTGTCTTTGTTGCCAATGATGGAGGCTGAGAAGAGACTTATTGGAATGTTATTGCTTGGCCAAAGCAATGTACGGTAGGTTTTCCATGAAATACACGACAGGGTACTTTCTTAGGAGAAATGAACCTGCATTAGCAAGGATGAGTCAGTGTATGCATTATAAATATCGAGTTACTTTTCTCTAGGGAAATCGCCGGACTGGGGAAGCTCCAGCTTGACATCCACAAAGTCATCCCCATCTGAAAAGTAAACCAGCCTCTCACCCGCCCCAGCTTGCCCTCCTTCCGAGTCAAACCCCTCTCCCAGCACCACTGGTGAGTCCAATGACGGCGGCATTGCAGCGCTTGCAGCAGGCAGCTGACTGGCATCAAGGCTGAGATTCCGGTCAACAAAGTCCTCTCCCTCGGAGAAGTACTGAAGCATGCCGTCAGGAGTAGCCTGGGCGTCTGCCAGTACGAATACAGGGTTGATACCCAATGGGGAGTCGAGGGATGGGATCTCTGCACCGAAACCCCTTGCTACGGGTGCTTCTTTGATCCCTGCTTGTGTGTCCTCGCCCTCTTCTTTTGGAGCTGCTGCTGTTTCGTCTGCTTTGCTCGCGACAAGCACGCCCACTGTAGCGGCAGCTGCAGCTGCAGCAGCCACTGCAGATGCACGAGTGGCGGTAAACGCGGCAACTTTAGCAGGATTCTCCTGCTGCCGCGTGTCCCCATCGACAGCAGAAAGAGCTGCAGATGCAGCAGCGGATGCTGCAGATGAAGGAGCGGCAGTACGCTCGTCTTGTTTATTCATGAGAAAGGCTGTGGGTTCTATGGGCCGAATGGCTCTACGACCGAGTGTTTCCTGTTCAAGAAAGAACGAAAAGACAGGAAGCATGGAATGTAACAATTGAGACGAATTGACAGCGATTCGGATGTTCATATGCACAACAAGCCTAACTGGGAAAGCATTTGTGAGTCAACTCAAAAGCAACCCATAACAAGGCCAATTAGGAAAGGAGGGGAAGCCGCGTACCTTGAGAGTGTCGAGAAGAGGGCGGGAGGAGATGAGGTCGGAGGATTGGGAGGAGGAGGAAGCAGAGAGAGCCCTCTGGTCCATGGCGTCCCGCATGAGGCGCCGCACAAACACCACATCGTCTCTCATCACCCCCATGTCCTGTAGAAGCATGGAGCCCAGACGCAGACCAGTCTGCAGTGAAGGATTGGGGGGAAGGAGAGGGAGAGGGGTTGGTTCAGGGGCAGCGAGAGGGAGGAATGGCACAAACACCACGTCGTCTCTCATCACCCCCATGTCCTGTAGAAGCATGGAGCCGAGGAGGAGACCAGTCTGCAGTCAAGGATTGGGGGGAAGGAGAGGGAGAGGGGTTGGTTCAGGGGCAGCGAGAGGGAGGAGTGGCACAAACACCACATCATCTCGCATCACCCCCATGCCCTGTAGCATCATGGAGCCGAGGAGGAGACCAGTCTGCAGTCAAGGAGGCAGCAGGGGGAACACAAGGGGAGAGGGACAGGGGTTGGTTTAGGCCAGTGAGAGGGAGGAATGGCTCGAACACCACATTGTTTAACGCAATTCCTTTGCCCTGCAGGAGCATGGAGCCCAGGCAAAGACCAGTCTGCATGGGCACGTAGAGAGGCGAGAGCAACACGGATTGGTCCAGGGACTGATGCAATGGGGTGGAGAAAGAGCAAGGTGCTGGACGGACGTTGTGTAGGGACAGGAGCGATGGGGTGGAGAAGGAGCAACCAGCAACATGTGAGGCTTGGCTGGAAGCTAACACTTTGCCACAGCACAGTGTCTTGCACATGTGGTACGCAGGAGAGGGGAATCACATGCAATTTTAATGCTGTACCTATCCTTACCAGCTCGTACTCAGCGAACAGGAACTTTTGATCCCATGCGTCTTGCGAGGGTCACCTCAGCGCTCTCCAACACCACGTCAGTGGTCCCTGCTCGCATTTTGAGTCGACTCAAAAAGAAGATTCCATGTGACTCACCTCAGCACTCTCCAGCACAACGTCAGTGGTCCCTGCTCGCATTCTGAGTCGACTCAAAAAGAAGATCCTATGTATCTTGAGAGACTCACCTCAGCACTCTCCAACACCACGTCAGTGGCCCCTGCTCGCATTTTGAGTCGACTCTAAAAGAGGATCCCATGAGAGACTCACCTCAGCGCTCTCCAACACCACGTCAGTGGCCCCTGCTCGCCTGAGCTCCGACAGATGCATTGAGTCCACTGCCCGTGCATACAGAGGTACCTGGAGCGAGCAAGGGGAGGAGGGAGGGAGGAAGGAGGAGGAGAGAGAGGAAATGTCCGTGAGTTAACTCACAGGTGACACTCATATTTCACATGACAAACTCTCGCGACAGGTGTCCTTGAGTCAACTCACAACACGCAAAAATGACGTTACAGACACTCACCCCAGGAAAAGCCTCTTTGAGCCGCTCGATTGAAGCCACGGATCGGGTGCGGCTGGAATAGACGACCATGAAGGCCTTGGGGCGGCGAATGCCGGCCGATTCCAGCACTGCCGGGCGGCTGCCGTCGCCATACAGGACGGGGAAACCGAGCGATGCGCCAAGCTGTCAGGGGATCGAGAGGGGCAAGGGTGAGGTTTGAAGAGAGTTGGGTATCCAAGGAAGCTCGAAACCTGTTACAAGTTGGAACTGGAGGAAATGCTGAGAGGGAGTGTAAGCGGCCTTACCCGCACGCGCTTGGGGTTGAGATCGAAGGAGATGAAGTTCCAACCAGCAGGACAAGGGTGTGGGTGAGGTTTACAGAGAAATTTATGATCAAGGAAACTCCACCTCGTAACAAGTTAGAACTGGAGGATATGTTGAAGGACAAGGAGTGCGAGGGAGTGAGAGGGAGTGCGAGGGAGTGCAAGGGGGCTTGGCTTACCCGCACGCGCTTGGGGTTGAGATCGAAGGAGATGAAGTTCCAACCAGCAGCGTCTCCCCCTGACCCCGCTGCAAGCGGCGTGGAGAGGAAGTTGGCCAGCACCTGCCCCATCTGGTTGAACCCCAGAATGACTATCGGCTCCGCACCGGCGAAGTGTGTAGAGTGGGATGCGCCTGCCTGTGATGGTGGTAGGAGCAATGTGGGTGAGCAGAGGAATAGAGATGGCAGGGCAGGATTGTGAGCTTCGGCACAAGTTGGTTGAATTGAACCCCGCAATCACTGCCAATTCGTGCAGGAAGCAGAGAGTTTGTGGGTCATGCCAACCTTTATGAGAGTTACAAAAGCAGCAGCAGAAATAAATAAACTTACCGCTTCGCCTTCCATGCCGCCATCGGCTCCACTCATCGCCCCATTGCCGCCTGCTCCCAGTCTACCAACAGCCGCCCCACCACCCACGCCCCCGGCAGCAACAGTGGCAGCGTCCCTGGATTCGATGTTGTCCTCTATGTACTCGGCTGCTCGGCGCCCCAGGGCGTCCAGGAAGGGCGTGAGCGCCATGGATAGCACCACCACGATGATGAGCAGCCGGTTCAGCTCCAATGGCAGCACGCCTAGTCTGAATTGGTGAGAAGGAGGAAAAGGAGGGAGGGAGGGACGGTGTGACAGAAGGAGGAGGCAAGGGCGTGAGCGCCATGGATAGCACCACCACGATGATGAGCAGCCGGTTCAGCTCCAATGGCAGCACGCCTAGTCTGGCTCATGGGAGGGAGGAAGGGAGGGAGGGAGGGAGGGAGGGAGGGAGGGAGATGGAGGAAGGGCGTGAGCGCCATGGAAAGAACCACCACGATGATGAGCAGGCGGTTCAGCTCCAATGGGAGCACGCCTAGTCTGAATCGTTGGAGAGAGGAAGGGGGGAGGGGGGGGAGGAAGCAGAAAATGAGGGAGGGATGACGGAAGGAGGAATAGAGGGTGTTGAAACACATGGAGAGCACCACCACGATGATAAGCAGACGGTTGAGCTCCAAGGGGAGCACGCCCAGCCTGAATTGGTTGTGGGGGGAAGGGGAGGGAGGTAGGAAAGGGAGGAGGGAGGAAAGGAGGGGAGAAGGGGGAAGAGAGGGTGCTGAGCGCCATGGATAGCACCACCACGATGGTGAGCAGGCGGTTCAGCTCCAAGGGGAGCACGCCTAATCTGGCTCGTGGGAGAGAGGGGAGGGAATGAGGGTGGGAAGGAGGGAGGGAGGGAGGGAAGACAGAAGAAGGAGAGGATATTGAGCGCCATGGATAACGCCACTACAATAGTGGTGACTAGGGCATAGATTAAGAAAGAAAGAAAACAATGGAACAAAGAAACACAAAAACGATATTCCAACAATACAAAGGACGATATAGAAACTCTTTAGAAGCATATGGGTGATGCTAAAGGCGTATGACTCACTGGTTGGCGAGGGCGACTACGACAAAGCCGAATTCACCCGCTTGGGACAGCAGCAGCAGCCCCGTGCGCACGGACTCGGAGAGAGTGAGCCCCACCCGCGGCCCCAGCGCTGTGATTATGGCCGCCTTGATGCCTATGAGGCAGTCCGGAGTGCCAAGAGTGGGGCTTACATATGAAACTATGACTCACTGGTTAGCAAGGGCGAAGACAACGAAGGCGAACTCGCCCCCTTGGGACAGCAGCAGCCCCGTGCGAACGGACTCCGAGAGAGTGAGCCCCACACGCGGCCCTAGAGCCGTGATGATGGCTGCCTTGATGCCTATGAGGCCCACGAGGAGAGCCAGGATGTTGGGCCACTCCGATGCCAGCAGCTGCGAGGGTGTGGGGAAGAGAGAGTGGGGATGGAAAGAGGTGGTTGAGAGCCAGGATGTTGGGCCACTCCGATGCCAGCAGCTGCCGGGGGGAGGACGACAGATGGAGAGAAAAAGAGTGAGAAAAGAAGGTGAAAGCTGTGATGCTGGCCGCCTTTATGCCTACTAGGCCTACTAGTAGCACCAGGATGTTGGGCCACTCCGATGCTAGCAGCTGAAGTGGGAGGTGAGAGACGAATGGAGAGGAAGAGTGTGAGAAAGTGAGATGGAAGCTGTGATGATGGCCACCCTTATGGTTATGAGACCTGCCAGGAGCGCCAGGATGTTGGGTCACTCTGATGCCAGCAGCTGTGGAGAAAGGTCAGGACCGGTGGGTGGGACGCAGGAGGAAAATAAGGGCTGTGATGCATGCGTGCTATGGCAATGAGGCCATGTGGCTAGCCAACAGAGCACGGGCTGTCGTGATCCAAGTAACTGGATGGACCGCTGGGATCAGCTTCAGTCAATGAGTAACGAATTCACAGTTGCACTCACGTTGAGGTCGATGGAGCTGCCAGTGGTGACGAAGAAGAGCCCCAGCAGCAGCCCTCTGAAGGGGCGGATGTCCGCCTCCACCTGTGTGCGGTAATTCGTTTCTGCCAGCAGTGCTCCTGCCAGGAACGCTCCCAGCTGTGCAGGCACGCATGGGAGGCAATGAGACATAGAGGAGAGTACAAAAGAGTGAGTCGGGGTTTGGATTTATGGTGCCTCCATAACACCTGTGTGCGGTAGTTGGTCTCTGCCAGTAGTACTCCTGCTAGGAACGCTCCCAACTGCACGCACACGCACGGGAGAGAGAGACAAGGGAAAGTACATTAGTGTTGGTCGACCTCAACGTTAAGGAGAGAGGTAAGAAGTGCGCCTGTTCTAAAGGTTCTTGCATCTAAGCATGCGTGTGGAAGAGTTTGAAACGATGATGTGATGAGCATGAGAAGATGCTGGGTGGTACAAGGGCAGTCTTACCGAGTCACTGAATCCGAGCTTGCTGGTGATGAGAGCTGTTCCCGTGACTGTGAGCAGGCAGAGCGCAATGAACGCCTCTGAGCTCCGCGACTCAGCCACGAACTGCAGATTGGGATAGGGAGAGGCAGGGCAGAATGGGGGGAGGGATCGGGTGGGAGAGTGATGAAGGACAGGCAGAGCGCAATGAACGCCTCTGAGCTTCGCGACTCAGCCACGAACTGAAGAGAGGGCGAGGGAGAGAGGTGGGCAAAGGGAGTCAAGGGATGGGGTGGGTGGGAGAGAGATGAAGGACAGGCACAGAGTGCAAAGGCTGCTGAACAGCGACTGTCACGCTTCATGTCATCATGCGATCCTGCTATCACGCCGTCATCATGCAATCCTGCTATCACGCCATCATGTCATCATGCAATCCTGCTATCACGCCGCCTGCTATCACGACGTCATGGCATCATGCAATCCTGCTATCACGCCATCATACCATCATGCAATCCTGCTATCACGCCGTCATGCCATCATGCAATCCTGCTATCACGCCGTCATGCCATCATGCAATCCTGCTATCACGCCGTCATGCCATTATGCAATCCTGCTATCACGCCATCATACCATCATGCAATCCTGCTATCACGCCGTCATGCCATTATGCAATCCTGCTATCACGCCGTCATGCCATCATGCAATCCTGCTATCACGCCGTCATGCCATTATGCAATCCTGCTATCACGCCCTCATACCATTATGCAATCCTGCTATCACGCCGTCATGCCATTATGCAATCCTGCTATCACGCCGTCATGCCATTATGCAATCCTGCTATCACGCCGTCATGCCATTATGCAATCCTGCTATCACGCCATCATACCATCATGCTATCACGCAGCCTCACCTCAAACAGTCGTCGCAGAGCAATGCGCCCCGTGTACAGCAGCACTCCCAGCCCCAGCAGCGACTTGAGACAACAATTTCATGCTGACATGCTATCATGCTGCACCATCAAAACTCACCTCAAACAGTCGTCGCAGAGCAATGCGCCCCGTGTACAGCAGCACTCCCAGCCCCAGCAGCGACTTGAGACAGCAATATCATGCTGACATGCTGTCATGCTGCACCATCAAAACTCACCTCAAACAGCCGTCGCAGAGCGATTCGGCCCGTGTAGAGCAGCACTCCCAGCCCCAGCAGCGACTTGGCTCCCTCCAGAGCGAGCAGAGGGAAGATGGAATCGTCCGTGAAGTCCTGGGCGTGGGGGAGGGACAGGGAGCGGCAACCGGGAGGGAATAAGGGTGATTGGTTCGACTTGAAGTCACCTTGGCTCCTTCCAGAGCGAGCAGAGGGAAGATGGAATCGTCGGTGAAGTCCTGGGCGTGGGAAGGGGGCAGGGAGCAGAGATTAAGAGGGATGGCTGGTGCGGACAGGCTGTGAGCGAATGGGGTTTGAGGGATCGCAGGGATGATTCACGCTGTATACAGCATAGTACCATTCATAATGTACGCCCAGCGCACCTGCAGTTCTATGCTGAGTGCTTACGCTGTCTGCTGCAGATGTGCAGGGACTCGGTCATACGGAAAGAGGAGGATGCTAGCATGTGCCTGTACTGTACTGTCTGGTGAGATGTGAGCTTTCCAAGAGAAGGCCTCAACGGCATGTGTGCCTTTCCAAGAGAAGGCCTCAACGGCATGTGTGCCTTTCCAAGAGAAGGCCTCAACGGCATGTGTGCCTTTCCAAGAGAAGGCCTCAACGGCATGTGTGCCTTTCCAAGAGAAGGCCTCAACGGCATGTGTGCCTTTCCAAGAGAAGGCCTCAACGGCATGTGTGCCTTTCCCTTGCACTGGCAGTAATGGCATTATGGGATCACCTCGTCAGAACAGCATGCCATACCATTTCTCCATGCAGCATCATGTGCTGTGACTAGGTGCCACGTTCTTTAATACTGGAATGTGTCACGATTTGCCATGTGGTTGTTGATTGGCGATTGTTTCTTACCCCGTTTTCGAGGATGGGGAGAATGACGAGCAGAGGGACGACTGCAATGTCCTGCAGCAGCAAGATGCCGAGAGTTGCCGACCCGTAGCGAGTGGCGAGCTCACCCTTTTCAGACAACAACTGCATGAGGCAATTGGAGGGGGCACGGAGAGGAGGAAGCGGAAACGGTGGGGAGAAAGGGGGAGGAAAGCGAGTGGAAAGAGAAGGGGATGTCATGAGTGGAATTTTTGTTGATTGCGGATAATGGAGCTTCAATAGATGTGTGTGTACCATGTGGGACAGGCACTCGAAAATATACTGACTGAATAGCGCCTAGACACGAAATGAATGCTGGTGGAATACTGCTGACTGAGCCCTGAAGAGAGCGTGAGACCTGAGCAAAGCATGAGCATGAGCCCACCTGAAGCACGAAGGCGGAGGAGGAGAGCGCAAGAGCAGCTCCGATGACAATGGCCTCATCTAGTGACCGGATATTCACCTGCAAAGGGGCATGCAAGCACAGGAGACCCAGGCCGGGCAAGCACAGGTAGGTAGTGGCTTTTAGAAACGCTTGCCAGAATCCAAGGACCTTTGGTTTTTCACCATGGAAGCTATTTTTCGAGCTTGTATCCTACAGAACGGCTGGGTTTCGGTTGTGTGTTTGAGGGACGAGTAGAACAGGTGAGTACGAACCAGATCAGCTTTGGCCCCAAAGAGGAATTCGAGTGCGCGCGTGCCAATGGCATTGTCGATTGGCAGCTCGAACGCTGTGAAGGCAAGCGTAGTGAGGAGAACCTGTAGGGATGAAAGGAGGGCGGGAGGGAGGGAGGGAGGAAGAAAGAAGAAAGGCGGGTGGGGGAGAGAGTAAGCGAGTACCGTGAGAACTGTATCAGTGTGCTGAGCATTGGAACGAGGACAGCCAGTAAGGTGTGGTGCCGGTTCAAGGACACTAGGAAAGTCGGACGAGATAGGAACTGGGTGGAAGGATGGAGGATAGTCATGATAGGTGGACAGAGGAGACGCATGCAGAGCCGACAGAAGGTTCTTGGGAAGTCATGAACCAGATTCGGGGAGACCTGGACAAGGCAATGACTGGCTGCCTTGAGATATGGGGAGGTGAGCCAAGAAAAGGGTAATGCCAGGAGGTAGATGGGAGAAGAGCTACGGAGAAGGGAGGAACCTGGAGAGGGGAGCGTCGGGAGCAGGTGGTACCAGGGGAGGGGAGCAGGTGGTACCTGGGGAAGGCCCATGCCGAATGCGAACTTGGCGAGTGCTCTGAGTCGCTCGAGGGAGAGCTCGAGGCCCATTTCAAAGAGCTGTCATGGGGACGGTTAAGAGAGATGGGCGGTTAAGAGATGTGCGGATTGAGGAGTGATGGGGAGCGAAGGGATGAAGGGGGCGGAGCGATAGTCGTTCACAAATTCGTGTGCGTGCATCTGGCAAGTGCGTCAATGGAGCTGGTAACTGCGCAAGGAATGTGTTACCCTATTTTTTCTAACCATTTCTTCAACTGCATTTAGTTCTCTTTCGTACCTTTCAAATTGCCACCCTTTTCTTGCAGAGAGCAGAGGAAAGGCACCGCTATAGTCACTCACCAGGAACAAAATTCCGAGCTCGCTCAGCGCCTTGACGTCGGTGATGTTCCGAATGAGCCCCAACTCGTTAAGAGCAACTCCCGATAGAAGAAATCCGAGAATCTGCAACGCACCAGAGCCCGAAACGTATGAGGATAAACGGCGGAGATAGGAACCAAGGCACACGAGGGGGTCAACATTGTGAGGGAATCAACTCAAACAGAGCCGCAAGCTTCATAAAGGCTCGCTGTTCGCTTTTCTGTCTGGTGGAGTTACGCAGTGAGTGAGACTCTCCGTCCCGCCTTACCGGGCTTATTTTGAGGCTCTTAAATGCGGGGATGACAATAACGGTGGCCACCAGGAACGTGAGTGTATCGAGCCCCAGCGACCCAATCACATCGTACGCCGCATTCGAGCCTATCTCGGGACCCACAGCTTGCACCACCACTCTTCTTCGCGCACCAACTTTCCCCGCCCCTCTACGTCCCCCGAATCCGTCCACTCCTGTTCTCCGAAGCCCCGGCCCCACCCCCATCCCTTTGAGGAAAGGCCTGTTTGCAACCCCAACGCCTCCTTGCGACAAAATCCCATTCCGCGTTCCCTGGTTGCTCCGCGCACATGCGGAGTTTCCCCTCGTGTCAACATTCTTCCCCGCGGTTAGAAATCCCCCACGTGCGGGTAAGGAGAGCGGATTTGGGGCGCGCGCGGAAGACGACACGCAAAAAATGGCGGAGCGGCGATGGCGGCTGCTGTTGCCGCAACAGGCGCTGGTCTCAGCTCCCACGGTGCCGCGGGAAAATCCGCTGCCGCTCCGAACGGAAGCTCCGCTGAGGGAAAATCGCGCCTGCTCATAGGTAGGCGGGGAGGCTGGGCTTGCGGTGCTCCATGAGATAAGGGATACGCGGGAAGGGGGGATTGAAGGGAACCGAGGAAAAGGAGGGGAAGTTGAGACGGCGGAGGGTCTACAGCACCGTTGGCGGGGCACGGTGCTGTTGAGGGGGTGCATACGTGGGGATAGCGGGGTCGCTGTTGGCGCGTACAGCGAGGAGCGGGCAAGCACAGGCGACATCAGTTTGACGAAGTGTACGGTTGGCGACGAAGAATGTGAGATTTCCTCGCGCAAAGTTCGAATGAAGGAGCTTTACCCCGTCGGGACGGCGGATATCTGAGGTGTTCGGGCAAAAGCCGGACGCTCACGGACTAGTGAAACGTGATGTGTGTCCGTTGGTACCTGCAGCACCGAACGTCTTCGTGCGGGGTCTAAACTCAAATCTGCTAGGCAGCTCTTGGAAAATGTGGTGGGTGAGACCCACGACTGGCTCGAATGGCCTGTGCTCAGCTTGGTCGATACTGGCGCAATCTTGGACAAAACTTAGGTAGTACGTCTGTAGATAGGCGAAATGTGGTCAGGAAGGGGCTGTGCAGCCGAGGAAGGGAATGGATGTGGGAACATTGGGGGGAAGAGCCCTGGCCGTCAATTCGGGATGCTTCTAAATTTGGAGGTTGGACTTCCAACGATGACTGGTTTGCTTGCACCAAGGCAGCAGCTTGGCTCCCAATTTCTTACCTCCGTCCCTTTTTTATGAAATGCAGGTGATGACAAGAATTTCCAAATTTGTACCGTCCGGCCTTCTTGCAGGTACACTTATATTTTCGGTTGGTTTCCAGGCCTGACATACAAAATCACAGGTCATGTAAGCTGACCGAACAAACGAGATTTAAGGAAACACTGACCTAATAAAATAATGCTTACCTTCGTAGATCTCACGTGGCAACCTACCAGCCAATCAACTGCGAACAAACCATATGGCGATATTCGATTGGTAGATCGAAATGGTTCCACGTTATCGTGGACGAGGTGTTTTCTGGTCGTCAAAATTCATGGACGCCACATCAGTTCAAGATGTCCGCTTCGCCCCTTCTTTGAATTCTGCTCCTTGTTCACTTGTTTGAGGTGATCTTTCGCGGGTCCCGAAACAGACTCCGATGTAAGCATGTTTGCTTGCAATAAGCCGACTGTAACTGCAAATATCATATTCTTTCTTGGCAAATGTGGAGATAGAATAGAATTTTCCTGCACACATTTTCCATTAATAACAAGGAAAATGACAAGCCATCACCTAAACACTATCTTCTAGCGAATGCGGCTGATGTGTTTTAATTGCCGGCATCGGCATCGGCAACTGCAACTGCCACCATGTGCTCAATGAGGTCAATGACACGATTGCTGCATACATAGTCAACGGAAGGGTATGGTTAGGTAGAGTCCTTGCAGCACAAGGAAATAGAATGCGGCAAAAAAACGCCATTTTCATTACCTGTAGCCCCACTCGTTGTCGTACCACGACACCAGCTTCACGAAGTTAGGAGTGAGAGCAATCCCTGCCTTGGCATCGAAAATGCTCGACCTGCAAGGCTCAGAAACGTTCATCAGATGCAAAGCTTGACATAATGAAGAGGCGCAAACAGAACATTGCTAGGAATTCTGTAATTACCTGGGGTCACCCAAAAAGTCAGTGGAGACCACATCGTCCTCAGTGTATCCAAGATAGCCCTTCAGAGGGCCCTCAGATGCAGCCCTGCACGTCAAGCACGTACACATATTAACAAATGTCCTTGCGAACCTCAGTGAAAGGAGCTAACGTTATGAGGAAGCACTCCGTACTTGATGGCTGCCTTGATGTCATCGTAGCTGGCTCCCTTCTCCAGGCGAACAGTGAGGTCAACCACCCACACGTCAGGAGTGGGCACACGGAAGGCCATGCCAGTGAGCTTGCCGTTCAGGGCAGGAAGGACCTTGCCCACAGCCTGCATTTGCAAAAACAAATCACAGTCATTGAGCTGCTATTCCTGACCACGCATTCACATCGTCCGCTTGTGAACCAACATGCACTTGCCATACGCAGTAAATAACAACCCAGACGCCTTCTTACCTTGGCTGCACCAGTGGAGCTAGGAATAATGTTCTGCGCTGCTCCACGGCCGCCACGCCAGTCCTTGGCTGATGGCGCATCAACAGGCTTCTGCGTGGCTGCAACACAAAGGGAAATCATGGCAAGCGTAAGGCCACGAACACTCCGAGCATGGAAGCGAAGGCGTCGCTTTCTGCCATATACTGACCTGTGACAGCGTGAACGGTGGTCATAAGGCCCTCGAGAATGCCAAACTCCTCGTGAACCACCTGTTTCGGATGATTTTTTAACCAACAGCACATTAGGGAACCGCGTATTCTTGGTACGACATGACTGTTTAGGGTGATATTGGACCTTAAATTTATGTAGGGTTACTTTACCTTGGCGAGCGGAGCCAGGCAGTTGGTGGTGCAGCTGGCGTTGGAGACAACGTTCATGCTAGGAAGGTACTTCTCGTCGTTGACTCCCATCACGAACATGGGAGCGTCTGCTGAAGGAGCCGAGATCACAACCTTCTTCGCACCAGCCTTGATATGGGCCTCGGCCTTGTCGATAGTGGTAAAAACACCTGCACGCACAATAACGAAAGTACGTTGCTCACTACACCGTCTTTTGAGTCGTTAAGAGGAAACACATTCAAATCCCCTACCTGTGGACTCAACCACGAAGTCGACACCAGATTCACCCCAGGGAATCTCAGTTGGGTCCCTGCACATGAAAAGGACCGGTGAGCGTAAGCAATTTTGCTGATTATCACATGAATCCGGGATGCAAAACGATCGGAGACTAGATACTGACCTCTTTCCGAAGACAGCGATGGTTTGTCCGTCAATGTTGATGGCGTTCGCGCCCTCAGCGTGAATTTCGCCGGGGTATGTGCCATGGGAGCTATCGTAGCGGAACATGTAAGCCTGAGGAGTGGAAATCGTTACAGGAACGAGTCAGCACATTCCAACGCTGAATAACAATGTGGCAAAACGAAAGATAAATATGGCAAATGATGACGACAACAAGAAGTCATGGAATCTTCATGTGAACATACCATGTAGTCAGTGTCAATGAACGGGTCGTTGATACCAACGACCTCCACATCAGGCCTGGCCAGAGCAACGCGAAGAACAAGACGACCGATGCGACCGAAACCTGAGAAGGTAACGGTAGATGTTAGCATTCAGGTTGTGTTAAGGAAAGCACACATGCCGACATACAATCGAACTGATTACAGTCCATCACTAAGACATACCATTGATTCCGATGCGGATCTTGTTCTTGCTCTTGGAAGCTGTCACAGTAAACACATGAGGTTGTTAGAGAGTGGTCATGAGACGGTTTCGCTCCACCTAGATCCTTTAAAATGACTCACCAGAGTCAGTGGGTGGTTTCTCCGTCGCAATAGCAGCCCTGGTTGCGACGCATCTCGACGCCTTCGTTGCCTTCAAGGGCTTGCATGAGCCCACGGGACTGTTGTTCACGCAGAACGACCGAGAAAAGGCCTGATAAGGTAACAAGACACATTGGAATTGTCAGCAACAGAAGTGAAGAACGTGTGCGAGAAAAAAGCGGGTTTAGCGGCATCCAGAGGTTGTTCCCTATGTCGCGATCGAGCTTACCAGCTCGGTGGCATTGCTGGCTTCAGCAACAGTCCTCTTCTCAGATGCCTTCAACACGGTAGGCACGCGTGCGGAGAGCGAGATCGCGGTGGCCATTGTCACGATCGACGGATACTCTGCTCGCTAATAAACGTGGAGAAAGGTGGAGGTCAACAGAAGTGTCGAGTGCGCAAACTGATAATAAAAATTCGGGTTCCTTGAGTTATACCTGCTCGCCAGAGTGCCGATGGATGGGATGGACTAATGAGTTTTTCCAACCTTCCGAGTTGCTTGCACGAGAGTGTGAATTCCAACATCTGCTTGGAAGTGAAGACACCGCATCGAACGGCTCACATTCAATGTTATGACCTTGTAACCAGGGGAGCATAGTCGAGTGCAATCAGGCGACCCGATCACATCAAAAACTGCTCGTGCGTTGAGGGCTATTGGTGCAGGAAATCGTGTTACATTTCGCTTACGTGGAATGCCGCTTTTGGTGGTCCAATGTCCCTTTTGCTGGACACATGCCGCTTTTTGAATGCACGGGTGCGGCGGCAAGCTGGGACGTTCGAGTGCCGTGATTCGATATTTTTCTGGGAGCTCCGAAGGACGTGGGAGCTGACTTGGACATCACTGAGTGGACGACAGCAATTATCTCGTTGTGAAAGTGGATTCTTCCTATGTCGTCAAATATTTTCCTACTGCTAGATCTATGATGAAAACAATCCAATAAAACGTCAAGCATGCCAATGTCGAGGACAACGGATTTGACTTGGGTGCTGAGCTGACACAGGCAATCCCAAGGTCGGACATTTAGGAGGTTCACCACACACTTCCAGCACTCATACTCGTGTCTTCATGTACATGACTCGTTACCTCCGCTAAATGCGCCCAGGTCTCTTTTCCAAGCGCTGCGTTTCCCGCCATGAATTCAGGTCTCACGACATGGCTCGAGGTGAATCGCCCACATTGCGTCGGTGACCAGTAACTTCAGCATCTACTCGACAAATGCAAAATACTAATCCCGTTCCTTTCCGTTTCGGGAACACGGTACTCGCATTTCCGGCTGCGAGATTCGTGAATGCTTTTCAAAACCTTCGCCATCCGTCGCGTCATTGGCCTCCGTGTCATCTGAATCCAGAATCGCTACGACTGGTTCACGCGTACCAGGGGATGACACGACCTGTGGTCGAGCAGCGTTCGCGAGTGAATCGCATGCTCGTGCAAGCGACGCAGCGGCTGGGGATTTAGCAACCAGGGAGGTTGAAGCTGAGGCTGCAGAAGCAGAGCTTCTTACGGGTGATCATGCTTCAGCCAGTGCGGGATTTGGCGTTTTCCTGTCCAGATCGGATAAGGATGAGAGAACGTACACCGTCGATGGAGGTCTGTCCACGTGACTTGCTTTCATGCGAATTGCCGAGATTAAATGATTGCTCAACTCCTTGTGATTCTGCACTTTCTGTGACCTTCACAATTCTGGTGCCAATCCTCCACCAACGAGTCTCTGCTTCTACCATCCTGTTCTCCCTCTGTTTCGCCCTTCCCAAGGTCCAGGCTTTTACCAACTCCTATTTCTCCCATTCCTTCCCATTCTCTCCCACTCACCCCAATCCTCTTGGGTCATCCCCAACACAAGCAGACAATTATCTCATGCCGTTATAAAAACTGACTGTTGAGTCGACTCACCCAGTCACCCTGATTTGCACTCTCCCCCATCCCCTTACGACATCCCCCTATGACTTCCCCCACACCCACAGACGCAGTGCTCATCTCCGTGCCGCTGTCTCTCCTCCTCTCCGCACCCACCGCCCTGCAAGACCCTATCTACGGCGCCTCCCTGCGCCGCCTGCACTCCCAGGGCCTGCTGGACCACCGCATGCTCGTGCTCCTCCTGCTGCTGCTGCACCGGTACCACCAGAAAGACCGCTCCTTCTGGGATCCGTAGATCATATGCGACTTGAAGCGAGTTTTGTAAGAACCCAACAACATCGCTTGCTACTGCACTGTTGCCACCAGCAAAACCTCTTGCTCTGGGCTCCGTAAGTCCTCAAGAGCCTGACTCAACTCAGGGTTTTCAGAAATAATCTGAGAGATCACCAGTGACTACACTGCTGGCACTGGAGATGTGCCTCCCTTAGGGATTTACGTCGTGCCTGACTCCCTCACAAACCCGCACTTGCGCTTTCCTCTCCCCCCTGGCCTGCGTTATGCACTGGCCTGCAGCTACCTCTCCTGTCCTGCTCGCCTCACCCATCAACCCGCACTTGCCCTTTCCTCTCTTCTGTGACCCGGCCCATGCACATGCCTGCAGCTACCTCTCTTGCCTGCCGCAATCCTTTGACTCGCCTCTCTGGTTCGACCAGGCCACGTTGGAGGAGCTGCGAGGTGGGAATTTCTCCCTTCTTGCCTTGCCCAGGAACCCATACTTGCCTTTTCCTCTCTTCCGCCCCACGCTCCTGCCTGCAGCTACCTCTCCTGTTTACCACAGTGCTTTGACTCGCCTCTGTGGTTCGACCAGGCCACGTTGGAGGAGCTGCGAGGCACTCCTCTGTACGACGCTGCATGTGCGCAGGTAAACTGCGTGAGTACAGGTAACCCTGTAAGAGTGCAGAGTGCAATGTGACCCTGGGAGAGGAGCAGGTGGAACCGATTGTTACGGCTGCGGTGGGCGGACTAATCAGAGAGTGCCAGAACACGTCCGATTCTGGTTTCTCTGCCCCGCATGTTTCCAAATGCGTCTGCACCTTCAGAGGGCCAACTTGAGGCGTGTGTACGAGGAGCAGGTGGAGCCAATCTTTGCTGCTGTGGTGGGCTAACTTCAACAACACATCTGACTGTGTCTTCTCTACTCTGCGTGTCTCCATATTCAAATCCCCCGCACCTTCAGAGGGCCAACTTGAGGCGTGTGTACGAGGAGCAGGTGGAGCCAATCTTTGCTGCTGTGGTGGGCTAACTTCAACAACACATCTGACTGTGTCTTCTCTACTCTGCGTGTCTCCATATTCAAATCCCCCGCACCTTCAGAGGGCCAACTTGAGGCGTGTGTACGAGGAGCAGGTGGAGCCAATCTTTGCTGCTGTGGTGGGCTAACTTCAACAACACATCTGACTGTGTCTTCTCTACTCTGCGTGTCTCCATATTCAAATCCCCCGCACCTTCAGAGGGCCAACTTGAGGCGTGTGTACGAGGAGCAGGTGGAGCCAATCTTTGCTGCTGTGGTGGGCTAACTTCAACAACACATCTGACTGTGTCTTCTCTACTCTGCGTGTCTCCATATTCAAATCCCCCGCACCTTCAGAGGGCCAACTTGAGGCGTGTGTACGAGGAGCAGGTGGAGCCAATCTTTGCTGCTGTGGTGGGCTAACTTCAACAACACATCTGACTGTGTCTTCTCTACTCTGCGTGTCTCCATATTCAAATCCCCCGCACCTTCAGAGGGCCAACTTGAGGCGTGTGTACGAGGAGCAGGTGGAGCCAATCTTTGCTGCTGTGGTGGGCTAACTTCAACAACACATCTGACTGTGTCTTCTCTACTCTGCGTGTCTCCATATTCAAATCCCCCGCACCTTCAGAGGGCCAACTTGAGGCGTGTGTACAAGGAGCAGGTGGAGCCGATCTTTGCTGCTGTGGTGGGCTAACTTCAACAACACATCTGACTGTGTCTTCTCTACTCTGCGTGTCTCCATATTCAAATCCCCCGCACCTTCAGAGGGCCAACTTGAGGCGTGTGTACGAGGAGCAGGTGGAGCCAATCTTTGCTGCTGTGGTGGGCTAACTTCAACAACACATCTGACTGTGTCTTCTCTACTCTGCGTGTCTCCATATTCAAATCCCCCGCACCTTCAGAGGGCCAACTTGAGGCGTGTGTACAAGGAGCAGGTGGAGCCGATCTTTGCTGCTGTGGTGGCCGAAGCAGAGGGGGAGCAGGGGAGTGGCGATGCCTCCTGCTGCATCTCCTTGGACGATTTCCTCTGGTACGAGAACGAGTAGTCGTCTGTTGCGTTTCTCTTCGCGCTCTTCCTCTTGATTTTCTGCCTCTCACGCAGCGCCTCCTTTCTCTCTGCCCTCACTTCCCTCCCCCCACTGGCCACTGCACTCTTCCTCTCCTTCGACTTGCCCCTTGCCTTGGTTCCTAACTTCTTAATCGACTCAGCGCCCCCTCTCCCCCCACACCCCTTCCCTCCCCAACTGCCCGTCTGTGCCTTCTCTCTCCCATTCTCTCCCACCTTCCCTCCACTTTTCTCTCTCCTGTGCATGCTGTGCATATGCGCCCCTGTGCAACACTCATTCAGGGCCAATTCCATCTTCTGGTTGCGAGCTCTCACCCTCCCTCTCACCTGTGCATCACCTGTCTGTCCATCTGTGCATATACATCCTCACGACGTACCATTCAGGGCCAATTCCATCTTCTGGTCACGAGCTCTCACCCTCCCTCTCACTCCTTGCCTCTCTGCCTACACCAACGACATTGCGGCTGATGCTGATGCCGGTGCTGCTGTTGCTGATGCTGATCGTGCGGCTGACGATGCTGGTGGTGCCGATGCTGCGTCCTCTCCATCACACTGTCTAGAGGCGATTGTCCCGGGAGTTGACTTCTGCAACCACTGTACGTCACTTCATCCTCCCTGCAAGTCCTGCATGACTCTTCTGCTGCTGCTGCTGCTGCTGCTGCTGCTGCTGCTGCTGCTGCTGCTGCTGCTGCTGCTGCTGCTGCTGCTGCTGCTGCTGCTGCTGCCGCTGCTGCTTGTGACACCACTCCTCTGTAGTCCACTCCACATCACACTGTCTAGAGGCGATTGTCCCAGGAGTTGACTTCTGCAACCACTGTACGTCACTTCACCTTCCCTCCCTCCCCAGTTGCTCTCCACAGTTCCTTGTTGACTTTGTAACTAGAAAACTAATCAAGAAAAACCAACCCCACTGACACTGTCCTATTTGAACCTTTCCCTTCTCTCCTGGTCTCTTTCCCTTCTAATTTTCTGTTCCGCCCTTCAGCCCTGCTACCCTGTGCTCGGTGGGAGATCCTCACAGCTGACCAGCTCACCCGCTCTAATGGGAAGAACGGCAGTGGGGAAGAAGACCGTGGGAAGGGACAAGACACAGGGAGGGGAGATGGAGCAGTAGCAGGTTCAGCGTCAGTCGCACAGCCACTTCAACAGATGCCCGATTCTGATGCTGTGTGCTTGCTGCAAGGTGATGCTCCTAGAGAGTGAGTTTCTATGCATTGCGTCTTAAAGGCCGAGACCTGAATTGCAAAGTTGGGAGGCAATCTGGTGACAGTTGACTTCTGAGTCGCCTCAAAAGTCACAAAGTTGGGAGGCAATCTGGTGACAGTTGACTTCTGAGTCGCCTCAAAAGTCACAAAGTTGGGAGGCAATCTGGTGACAGTTGACTTCTGAGTCGCCTCAAAAGTCACAAAGTTGGGAGGCAATCTGGTGACAGTTGACTTCTGAGTCGCCTCAAAAGTCACAAAGTTGGGAGGCAATCTGGTGACAGTTTACTTCTGAGTCGCCTCAAAAGTCACAAAGTTGGGAGGCAATCTGGTGACACTTTGCCTCCACCAGTCACTGGGTTCTGAACACGTTATTTTTCCGATTCCTTGCCGAACCTCCTGGGGTCTCAACTGGCAGTGCAGCACTGAAAAGTGCCAATTCTCAGGCAGATCTGCCATACCCTTTACCCACAGCACCTTCCTGCTCCCAGCCGTCTCTTCCCTCTCCTTCACACTCCTGTGCTCTGCAAAGTGCCTTTTCGGGGGCGTCAGCACTCTTGGGGCGCCTCGAAAAAACATCTCTGGTCCTCCTCCCTCACACTCGTCTGCACCCCCTTACCACCCTCCTCGACCCACACCGCCATGCAGTGGTGCCTCCTGTAGGGGGCAACGAGGTTACCATCAGCTACGGGGAGAAGGGCAACGAGGTTAGTAAGTGCATGTGGGGGATCATTTGTTTCCTGTTTGGGTGACACACGCTGTTTGTTGTGTGGATGGTAAGTCTCTGTAATGTGATCTTCGGGTGGAATGAGTCGTGTTTTGAGTCGACTCAAAACGTGACACACGCTGTTTGCTGTGTGGATGGTAAGTATCTATAATGTGAGCTCGGATGGTATAGTGTGCATGTTGGGTGGTCGCATGTGGGTGGTGTCATGTGTAGTTGTCCCCAAGTGATTCCACACGTTCACTTTCCCCCTCCTTCCTCCCTCCCTCTCTCCCTTCCTTCCTCGCACCACCTTCCCTCCGCGCCACTCTCTCACACCAGGAGCTTCTGTTTCTCTATGGCTTTGCCATTCGCAACAACCCCCACGAGTGCCTTATGGTGTGTACCCCTTACATACCACTTCTTTTTATAGACATGCATCTGCCCCACTCCACACACCTCTGCCCCTGCGTCTCCCCTGCCCGTCTGCTGCACTATCCATCCATACGTCCTGCATACTGCTTTCCCCCTTGCAGTTCCTCTCCCCTCTATCCACTCACATCCTCGCTTCGCCTGCCTTTCCACTTACCGCACCCGCTTTCCCGATTCCTTCTCATTTTTCTTTCCTTATCCCTTTCCCCCTCCTAGTCCTTTTCCTTTGCCTTTTTCACTTCTCACCGCTCCTCCTTTTCGTCCACTCCCATTGCCCTGCCATGCCCACCAGCTCAACTACCCCCCGGCTCAGCTCCAGGAAGACCCATGCGCCGACACCAAGCTACAGCTCTTGGCCGTGCAGGTATAAACGAATCAGCTGCTAACGAATCATGTACTGACACAAGTCAGCCACTGATCATACAGGTCCCGGGCTTCTCTTTTACATCCCACAGTTCTTCTTAAACAATCGTCTCGGAGCGATTATGAACTTGATTGTAACAATCCTTTTGCCAGTCCCCTCCTCTCGTCTACCTCTGTGATCATGCTTCTTCCCCCTTATAGGACCTCTCGCTACAATGGATCATTCCGCGTTCCTCCAAGTATCCCAACGATCATCTTCAATATGGTGGTGCTTCATCTGCCAGGACTAGGAAGGAGCAGGGGCAAGAGGAGAGGCAGAGGCAGGAGGAGACGCAGGGGCAGGAGGACAAGAAGGATCAGGAGGAAACGCTGGGGCAGGAGGAAAATCAGGGGCAGGAGGAGAAGTTGGGGCAGGAGAAAAGGCAGGGGCAGCAGGTGCTTCAACATAAGCAAGTGCAGCACGGGCAGCAGAATGAGGAGGAGGGTGAGGGGGAGCAGGAGGAGAGTGACCATGGGGGTGTTTTTCCCCCCGGCATGATGGCAGCACTTCGAGTGCTCTCACTCACAGTAGCCCAGGTGGAGGCTGCCACCTCAGCACTTCTGGAGGTACGTGTTGCTGACGTGGAGTACAGCATGCATATGCCACGTGGCATGTATGGCATGTGCGGCATCTGTTGCACCTGCCCTGTTAGTAACCTAAGAGGTTGTTTGCTGTTACCACAAAACCGCCCTGGTTCCTCTTTGTTAGCCTTTAATCCCTGCAGACGCACGGGATGCAGTGAGGGAGGCAGCAGGGGGAGATGCACAGGCGCTGCTGCTGTGCTGCAACAGCGACAAAACGACCCATCACCACCCATCTACATCCCTTCCGTTCCTCCCCACATCACAGCGCAAGGCAGCATTAGGGGCGGGGTGTCTAAGCCCTGCAGATGCGGGGGAGGCAGTGAGGGAGGCAGCAAGGGGAGATGCACAGGCGCTACTGCTGCTACTGCAACAGCGACAAAGCCACCCATCACCACCCATCTACATCCCTTCCCTTCCTCCCTACATCACAGCAGAAGGCCGCAGCAGGGGCGGAGACTCTGAGCCCAGCCGATGCCAGGGAGGCAGTGAGAGAGGCAGCTGGGGGGGATGGACAGGCGCTACTGCTGCTGCAACAGCTGCTGCAGCAACGGTGAGGGCTCGTGGGTCAGGCATGGAAAGTGGAGGCATCAGGCATGAATCATGATTAGTCTAGGGTCAGGCATAATGAGTCACAGGGACAGGCAGGATGAGTCTAGGGCAAACAGACGGTGAAGTTAAGGGATGGTGATGTTGTATTTTAAGTCTCGGATGTTCGCATGCAAACTTGATTTTCTCTCTCTCTTTCTCTTGATCCTCCTCACTCTCTCACCTGCACTTTCTCACTCTCTTTCCTGCTCTTTCTCACTCTGCCGTTTTTCACACTCTCATGTCACACCTCACGTCCTCCCCTGTCTCTCCTTGCAGGCTTGATAGCATGCTGCAACGCACGGGCACTGCTGAAGAGGACACTGCATGGCTTGATATACATACAGGCACTGATGAGCAGGACAGGAGGTGGGCAGGGTGTGGTGGGCATGGTGTGGTGGGCAGGGTGTGGTGGGTAGGGCGAGGTGGGCAGGGTGTGGTGGGTATGGGTCGAAGCATGCTATGGTGGGCATTGGATGGGGCATGCTGTGGTTGCCACGGTTGGTTGCACGTGTGCGCATTGGTAGGCAGGATAAGAGGAATGCATGGCATAGTGTCCGCACCGCACGAGGTGTTAAGCCCCGATCCAGCATGTGCGAGCATGTCCATGTGCCGGGCCGGTGTGTGCATTCCATCCCACTCACATGCACCCTTCTGTGCATGCATGTGTGCAGCACCAGACTCTCTGTGCAGCTTATTGCGTGGTTTCGAGATTCTACCACATTTCAAGTTCCATCTGCTGCGTTGAATTGACTTGTTCTGTGAGATGACTGTTGAGTCAACCCAAAAGCACCAGACTCTCTGTGCACCTTATTGCATGGTTTCAAGCTTCTACCATATTTTAAGTTCCATCTGCAGCAGTGGCATGACTTTGTACTGTGAGCACCCTCCCCTCTCCATTATGCGTCTCTGTGCAGCACGCGGCACAAAGCTCTCTGTGTGGTCTATCGCCTGGGTCAGAAGCTGCTGGCTCAAGAGCTGCTCACACGAGTTCCAACCCTATCAGCTTGACTTGTACTATGTGGCCCCGCTCTCTTCATACTCATCTCATCCCTCTCTGCACCATGCGGCACAAGACTATCTCTGTGGTCTATCGCCTGGGTCAGAAGCTGCTGGCTCAAGGGCTGCTCACACGCGTTTCCACATGCCTCTGTCAGAAGCAGTAGCCGTTGTCACGCTGGCTGCTGTTTCACCTCATCTGGAATGGACCCTGCATTTAGGTTCACGTGAAAAGCCTGTGGCACATCTGAGCTAAGCACTCCCCTTCCAAACACACCCATACCAGCAACATCCGTAGCAGCCCATGCCATCTCATCCATTGGCTCTATCACACACCCACGCAACCCTCTCCCACGCAACCAACACCCACGCAACCCTTTCCCACGCAATCACGGCCCCATCCCATGCATTCACATCTCATGCACTCACATCCCATACAGTCACAGCCCCCACCCCCTCCCTGCTCGCCCTTCGCTACATAACCGCTTTAGAGGAGCGAAACCGCATCTCGGCTGCCAAGCTCTCCCAGTCCGCCCTCTCAGTGTCCCCCCACGCCCAACACTTAGCCCTCAAATCACCTCAGTGTCCCTCTCAGTGTCTGGTAGGCAAGGGAATGGGCATGACAGCCCTCTCGGTGCCTCTGCTCCGAAGGGTGCTTCTGTGTCTGATGGTATGATTACAGAGTCATTTCGAGCAGGGGCAGGGGTTGGTGGTGGTGTTATGGCACGATACTGGGAAGATGACTTGTGGTTTGTAAGGTGTCATTTGCTGACTTCAGTATAGATTGCTTGTAGCTTGGCAGCACAGCAGCCCTGTTGGTGCATCTGCTCACCACATTGTGCTGTTGCTATCAGGCTGGCAGGGTATGATAGGAGGGTAGCAGGGGCTGTTTATAGCATGATGTGATACCAGGTCGTGCAATGTGACACAAATAGCTGAAGTACTTAGAATAGGCTTTCTGCACACGAATGTCCCACCCAAGAACATAGCAGCTAATATCGGGCTCATGTGATATACTCTTTGTTGCGATCAGAAAGTTGATCGTGACCAGGATCACCTCAGGAAGGTTCGCACACTTCTAATCTAGTGGTGGTGGGCCCTTGACCTCAATAGCAGAGTGAATGTAAATGCTTGAGATGATAAAAACGTGCAATACAAAGGATATAAATAGGAGTACAGAGGAATACGAAGCGACCTAGCTAGCCATGTACTCTAAGGGGTACATTCCCTTATTACAGCGAAATCCAACCGTGCGACTCCGGGTGGTTACGGAACTGTTCGGGCAGAATCCTCGCCACTGCTGCTGCCTGATGCTGTCTGCCCGACGGTCCAGATGCTCCTCGTAACCGCCTGTCCCTTCGCATTTCTTCTGCCTTTTCGCTTTCGCTCTCGATAGTGCGTGCTTCGATTGTGCTACGGTGAGGAGTGCTCAATAGTGTTTTCACTAACCACTATTCGTAACACCCCCCTTCACTCCTGGCCGTAGCGAGCATTGACCCGCTTGACTACCCCGCTGAGTTCGGAGCAGTGCTGGTACTGTTGACGCGGCAGTTTCTTCGTGAGGAAGTCAGCTGCCATGTCACCCGTTGGGCAGTATGTCAGGTCAACTTTGCCCTTGTCAACTTCGTCCTTGACGAAGAAGTACCGCAGTGCGATGTGCTTGGTGCGGTTGACGAAGCCAGGTTTGCTCGCGATCCTGATCGCGCTCTGGTTGTCGCAGTGCAGGCGAAAGTTCGTTGAGGACGGAATTTTCGCTTCCTGCAGCAGTTCCTGAAGGTAGAGACCTTCGCGAACAGCTGCTATTGCTGCGATGAATTCAGCTTCCGCTGATGACAGGGCAACCAACTCCTGCTTCTGAGAGTTCCAAGAGATGGGGCCGCTGGGCTCGAGGCGGAAGAGGAATCTTGTCCTGGACCGTCGATTGTTAGGATCAGCGGCGTGATCGGCATCCACGTAGCTGACGAGGCTGAAGAATGTGGTTGGGATGGTGGAGTAACTGAGCCCGACATTGGGTGTGGAGACGAAGAATTGAAGGGCTCGCTGAAGATCTGAGAGGTTCTCAGCCGTTGGTTTGCGCGAGTACTGAGCCAACTGGCTTGCGATGTAGGAGAGATCGGGCCTGCAGGTGACAGATGCGAAAAGCAGGCACCCCAACTGCTGCTGGTAAGTGTGAAGCCCAGCAGGGGACAGGGCTTTGTTGTCAGGCTTGTGGTTGGGTCCTGGAGTGCGGTAAGGGGTGGAGAGTGGTGCAGGCGCAATGTTGAAGCGCTTGCTAAGCTCCTCCGCATACTTCGCTGCTGAGAGATGAATGGCTTCCGGCGAGTAGGTGATGTTGAGTCCGAGAAACTGCTTCACGTCATGATTGCAGGTGATGTCGACGCGCCCTGCGAGGCTTTTCTCGAATTGCTCGAGCAGTTCGTTGCTTGACCCTGTGTAGAGGAGGTCGTCGACGTAGACCGTGAGCAGGATGTATTCGCCGCGGAAATCGCGGCGATACATCCCAGGATCGTGGGGCAGCTGCTTGAACCCGATTTCAAGCAGTATGTTGTGCACGTACTGCTGCCAGAGCCTTGGTGCCTGTTTGATCCCATAGAGGGACTTGCGCAGCTGGCAGACGCGTGGGTCTCCGTCGCCGTATATGTGTGGCTGTTCCACGTAAATCACGGCGTCCACTAACGCGTATAGGAACGCATTCTTCACATCGATCTGTCGGAGTGGTAGGTGTCGTGCGGCTGCGATGGCGAGCAGAATTCTGACGGACGTGTGACGGCTGACCGGTGCAAATGTCTGGTCGAAATCAATCCCGTGCCTCTGATCGTAGCCACGCACCACCCAGCGCGCCTTGAAGCGCTCAATCGTCCCGTCAGCTCTTGTCTTCACGCGGAAAACCCATTTCCCGGAGAGAATCCTTCTCCCCTTAACTGCTGCACGGTCGACGAGCACCCAGGTGTCGCGTGACTCGAGCGCTCGGATTTCTGCATCCATTGCTTCGCGCCACTCCTTGCTGTGTGGGCCTTGTCAGATTTATATGACATAGCTACTGTAGGCTATAGTGGGGTAGCACATATGGGGTACAGTTTTCCTAGGGTTTGTTTTTTGTACCCAACTTTCCCTTAGTCATTTCATTCCTCGTTTCTTCTCATGGTATCGAGCAGGTTCCCTAGTGGGAACGATTCCTAGGGCCCACCACCACGAAATTTTTTTTCCTGCCCGGAGCGCGCTTCGCTCCGGCCCGAGTCGCGCCCTCTGTGCTCTCCCTACCGTCGCGCCCTCGCTAGGCCCCTCACGGCCCCGTCGCGTCGCCCTTAGCGGCCCTCTCACGGCTCGTCGCGCCGCCCCTACGGCCCTTCGTGCCGCCCTTACGGCCCGTCGCGCCCGTCGCGCCGCCCTTACGGCCCCTCGTGCCGCCCCTTACGGCCCCTCGCGCCGTCCCTTACGGCCCCTCACGCGGCCCCTTACGCCCCTTACGGCCCCTCCCGCGGCCCCTCACGGCCCCCTACGGCTCGTCGCCGCCCTCCGCGGCCCCGCCACCTACCTGTGCGGCCCCGCCACCTACCTGCGGCCCCGCCACCTACCTGCGGCCCCGCCACCTACCAGCGGCCCCGCCACCTACCCGCGGCCCCGCCACCTACCTGTGCGGCCCCGCCCCCTTCCTGCTGGCCCCGCCACCTACCTGCGGCCCCGCCACCTACCAGCGGCCCCGCCACCTACCTGCGGCCCCGCCACCTACTAGCGGCCCCGCCACCTACCTGCGGCCCCGCCACCTACCTTTGCGGCCCCGCCGCCTCCTCTCAGCGGCCCCGCCGCCTCCTCCCAGCGGCCCCGGACGCCGCCCTCTCAGCGGCCCCGCCGAGCCGCCCAGCAGCCGAGCCGCCCAGCAGCCGAGCCGCCCAGCCGCCGAGCCGCCCAGCAGCTGAGCCGCCCAGAAGCCGAGCCGCCGAGCCGCCCAACAGCCGAGCCGCCGAGCCGCCCAGCAGCCGAGCCGCCGAGCCGCCCAGCAGCCGAGCCGCCGAGCCGCCC